GCTGGGCACTGCTCCCAAAATAGCTTGGGGGTTTCCATTTTTAGTGTGCAGAGAACAGGGCAGCTCTATGGGAGCGGGAACAAGGCCGCCTCTGTTTGCCACCAAGGGGAGGGTGGTGGAAAAGAGGTGGCAGGGAGATTCGTGAACCCGGCGAGAAGCCCAGGACTATGGCAAGGCCAGGCTTCCCAGGAGCCCCCCACCTTGTTTTCAAGGGCTGGGGGGGAGGGGGGGAGAGGATTTCTTCAGAACTGTGTGACATCGGTGTCTAACTGAGAATGGACAGAGGGCACCCCCTTACCCCGACACTCACTCCCCCTGCCAACTCACACCCAGGGATGCGCCTTGGGCAGAGCAGCCTGAGGTTACCAACACTCCCGCTTTCATTCACTTACAAACATTTGCTCAGCGCCTACTGCTTGCCAAGGTTCTCCAGCTCTCAGGGGGCCGCTACCAAGACACTCCCCAAATGTAAAAATCACAGTGGAGCCAACTGGCCCACAGGAAGAGGATGGACGAATTGGAGGGGCCAGGCCACATGAGAGAGGGGAGGCTGACCTCTCTGGGAAAAATTCACGCTCCTTTCATCACTGGCCCCTCCCTCCCCCTCATCCCACCAGTGAATCTGGCTGCCTGTCTTCCACGTTAAAAAGGTCTGCAAGGACACTTCTGGTGGGTAGCATATTTCACGTAAACCTCGGCCATGGGCAGAGCAGCCCTCAGTACCCACCTCCTCTCAGGACCTTCTAACAGAATCAGGACACATGCCTCTCTCTCTCTCTCTCTCTCTCTCTCTCTCTCTCTCTCTCTCTCTCTCTTTGCACCCCCACCCCACCCTGGGCAGAGGGATAAAGGTCAACCCCCTCGGCGCAGGCCCTCTCCCATGGTCGGCTCCCTGCCAGCTCTCCCCCACACATGCTCCGCGGGCCTGCCGGCCTCCACTGCAGGCAGTTCCCACAGCCTGGAATGCCCACTCCCGAGCTGTCCCATTAACTCCCTACCTTCTTAGCCTCCCAGCCAGTCTTCCCTGCCCCTAGGGTGCTCCTCCTGTGATAGACAGGTGGGCGTGGGCACACCCAGCCACCTGCTGTGTACCCTGGGGTCCCAGAACCAGCAGCTGGACTGCTCAGACCAGTCCACAGGACACCTGATTCAGTGCATGCCTGATGGCTCCCTGGGGTGTTTGGATGATTCAGAGGCCCCAAAATGAGGACAGATGTTAGCCCAAGCTCCCTACGGTTAGTTGGGTGAACTTCCAGTTCACTAACAGGTAAAACCAAGTGGGCAGGAGAGATAAGGGGCCCACATGCTTCTCCAAAGGCCACACAAGGAGTCAGTGTCACTTTTACAAATGATGGGCAGGAACTGACAAAAAAAAAAAAAGGGCAGCCTATTTAGAAGCCAAACTTCAAGTTTGGTCGGGATCTCCTGCCTTCTCCCCAAATCTTGGGCCCTCTAGACTCACAGCCCAATTCTAGCCTGGCCTCGGCCACACGTGCCCTGAGGTTCCTTCTGGGCCATCTTCAGCGGGACCGAAGAACGTCCAACACCAAGGGCACGCCAGCCCGGGGTCCCCACACACCGGGTCCCCACCGCGAGCGTCTGTCCTGGGGAGTGGGAAGCGGCCTTCCCTTCCCGCGCGAGCTGGGCTCCGGGTCCGGCCCAGCGAGTTACTCATTGACAGTGCGGGAGCACACACTGCTCGCCCCGTCGTTCGTGGGGCAGGGCTGGCGGAATCCCCCCTTTGACCCGGCACCCCGAGGGCCCTGGGGCGCTTCTCCATCACCGCCGCCCGCGCCCACGTGGAGAGAGCCGGGTCCCCGGTGCAGGGGTGCTCGGCAGGAGGCTCCGGTGCGTCTTTGTGAGAGGCGCGGGGCGCAGGGCTGTTACCACCAAGGGGAGGGCGAGGTCTCTGCGATCGGCGCTTGCCCGCGACCCTCCTCCTCCCCCCGAGCCGCGGGGCAGCGACCCCACCAGTGGTCCTGGGAGGGCGGGGAAGGGGCCGGCCGGTGCCGGCCGCCGTGCGGCGGCGAGGAGGGGGCGCGGAGGAGCAGCTCCACCTCCTCCGTCTCCCAATCGCGTTCCAGCCGCCGCCGCCAGAGTTTCCCTCGGCGCGGCCGAGCGTGGTCCCGGCTCTCCGCTCGGCCGCCCGCCCCGCGCCCCGCGCCCCGCGCCCCGCGCCCGCGCCCGCGCCCCGCACTCACCACCGGGCCGGCCCCGCGGGAGGAGCGCGCCGAGGCGGCCGCCGCGCCCGGCTCGGGATCTGCGCGCGGCGGCGCGGCTGCCCCCCGCCCCCCGGAGGTGGGTCTGGCCGAGCCGCAGCTGTTACCCGGAGACCGAGGGGCGGAAAGCTGCGCCCGCTGCCCGCCCCGCCCGCCGCCGCCGCGCTGCCACGGCCGCGAACAAAGGAGACAAAGCCGCGCCGGCCGGGCCGGCTCCGCGCCTGCCCCCCGCGCCCGCCGGGCCGCCCTCCCCCCGCCCGCCGCCCAGCCCGGCCGGAAGCCGCCGCCAGAGCCGGCCGCGCCGCCCCGCGCCGCCCGGGACCCCGCATTCCAGCCCCCCGGGGCCCGCGCTGGCCGCGGGCGGGGGACTGCGCCCCGCCCTCGCGGGGTCGCCACGGCAACGCGGGTCGCGGCCGCGAGGGGGCCGGGGGGCGCCGCACCCCGCCCCGCCCCGCGCCGCCCCGCCCCGCGAGCCTCACCTGAGCGCCGCGCGCGGCAACCCGACTGGGGGAGCCCTCCGGGGATGGGAAGGCAGCGGGCTGCGGGCGGAGGTCTCGCCCCGCGATCGCGGTCCCGCGCGCGCCCCGTGGGACCCAGCCCCCTTACCTGCCCGGCCTGTTCGCTAGCCACCACCCCCGCCCCGCGCTGTCCCCAGGTCCCTTCCGAGATCTGACTGCCAGTGGGGTTCCTCTTTCTCCAACTTTACCTGGGCTCTTAGACGCCTAGTTTCTCCCCAACGCCCCTCCCCCCAGGACTCCCCAATAACCAAGCCCTCCTTCCGGCCCCCCACCCCGCCCCCCATCTCGCTGTGCAGGACGAGCACGCCTGGCTTTGGGGGCTGGGCCTGGGTTTGCGCCATCCCCAAGCCAGTAACCTGACCATCCCTGCCCCCTCACACAAATACACAAACTATTTGCTCACCGGCGAGTGGGGGTGATACCAAAGCTCTGGCGGCCGTTTGAGGAGGGCAGGCGGGCTGCAGAAGTGAGGTGCATTTCTTTCCTTTCCTCCCAGGTTTAAAATGGGACCCACCCCAAGCTGGGAAGCCTTGGGCAAGTCTGGACTCCCCTCACTGGCACATACCTGGGCCTTCTCTGGGAGGAACCGCTGGGCAAAAGGGTTGTCTGCCGAGGCCCCGCTGTGCCCTTTGCTGGACCCTTCACAGACAGGCCTGCAGACTGCCAACAGCCCCTGCTTGGCCCTTCCATTCAGAGTCTGAGAACTTCAGTTCAAGGCAATTCAGACAGCCTCCTGAGTCGCAAAATGTGTGATATATACTATACCTTGGAAGCCACCAGAGCTTCACAGGGCTCAGAGGTGCAGAGCCAAAAGGCTCAGGTCATTCACACGGAGTTTAGTATGAGAAGACCAGACATTTTCTTCCCATCTCACTGACTCAAGAACCTCCCTTCACTTTCATCTGGCTTTCAAGTTCTCCCTTAAATTCCTTGTCCTCCACCCATCCCTTTTCCAGGACCTGGCCTGGTCACACTGCACCTCCCATTCCTGCTCCCGTGCACTTTCCCTGCCCTCTGACATAGAAGTCATGCCTGCCAATCTGGAATTTGGATCCTCCAAGGTTATGCTCCACACCTACATCCATCACCCCCTCAGCCCAGTCAATGAGGCCCAGGTCCCTCTCGCTATCACTCTCTCTCCCTCCTCTTCTCCCTCCCTTCCTCCGTTTCCTGCCCCTGCTGCCTGTGCATTCCTGCCCCCCATGCACTCAAGTGCATCCCCATTCAGGGATTCTACCCACCAGAGAGCAGAGAGACCTGGGCCTCCCAAGCCCCACAGCACCCCCTATCTCTACAGATACTCTGTCTCCTTCCTGTCAGGAGTGTGAGCCTTTCTGGCACAAGTTCATCCCATCCCCACACCATGTCCGGATACAAATGCAATGCAAAAATGAGTCACTCCATTTGCACTATTGCAGAAGCTCGTAGCATCCCCAGGGCCACTTGGGTCATGCCCTCAGCATGGACTTCAAGAAGAGACGGTCCTTCATAGGAAGCACTTCTGGCTCCCCAGGCTCCCTGATCAGAGTCTGGAAGGCTCTGAAAGGTAAATTCTCCTTCGCCAGGCCACACACCAGCTGGAGCACAGAGTGCCTCCCACTGTTCTTGTTTACTCAAGGCCAAACTCACCCATGGCCACTTAGTGCTGGAGGTCAAAGGTGGCTGTTCCTCTCTGAAAAGAGGTCAGAAGTTCTTCGGACAGTCTGCCTCTAAACCTCACAGCACCTCATCGCTCTGAGAGGCCCCTCCCCATCACTGTCTCAATGTCCACCCTGCCTGTGGGCTGTTTGGGCCTTCCAAGGCCACCTCGAGGCTGGAGGATGTGTAGGGGGAAGGATATGCACCCCAATCCAGGTAGACCAATGCTGCCCAATGCAGTCTGCACCAGGAATCCAGATTACCCATCCATCCCTATAATTATGTCCCCAGTAACATTTATCAACCATTCCCCCAAGTCCTCTCTCTCTACCCCCTCTGCTCACTTTCAGCGCCAGCATCAGATTCTCCCTACCACAGCAGAGAAAGTGATGTGGAAGAGAGACAGCAGCCACTGTAACCATGATGGGCAGCAGACTGGGCTCCACTCACAGCCCCCCTGCCAAGCAACAGAGAGGACTGGGTGAACGGATGGCCGGGAATCAAAATGAAAATCCAGGCTCCACGGGTGAGTGTATCCCAAATAGGCCCTGAACCAAGGACAGGACTGAGACAGAAAGGAGGGAGGAACCAGGGGGAGCAATTACACAAACCCCAGGCCCGACCCTCAAGTCCAAAATCTCAACCTTCAATGGTCGAATTCAAACTGATAGAAATTACTTTCGATACAAATGCAAAGGGATTTTAATTGAACACCAGCACAAAGTTTTGATAATTAATATAAATTAGAGTTGGCTAAAAAGCAAAGTGTATCAGCTGACAAGCCATAGCAGATGGTGCTCAGATTCAGAGCACCCCCAAAGAGTGGTGTGCACCCCACAGGTTTACTCCATTGCTGGGATCTAATTAAATCCACATCTACGCCTATTTCTTAAACTCTCTGGAGAAGGCTCCAGAGGTTAGCTGGCCTTGAACAGGATGTAGAGCACAGGCAGCGTGGCCACAAATGCCAGGCAGGTGACCATTGTGCTGTAGACAGTGTTTCTGTTGACCTGGGCTTCGAGCCTCTGCTCCACGTCCGCCAGTGCCAGGATCACACTCCCGTGCTCCAGCAAAGAGCCAGGCAGAGCCCCATCTGCAGGCTCAACCAGGCCCGGGTGTGCTGCAGCCTTTGCGAGCTGCACCGCCCCAGCTGTGTGGCTTAAAGTCTTTTCCAAGTCATGAAGCTGCTCTCGTAAACCCTCGAGACATGAATGAACCTGTCTGGAATGACTGAGCTGCTCTTTCAAGGCGGCTGAAAGGACATCTGTGTCTCTGTCTCGGGTGGGGGAAGTACCTGCCTGGGACCCTGAGCTCTGCCCGGGTCCGGCCTGTACCAGGCCCCTCAGATCAAGCATGAGGTCATGGAGGTCCTTCTGCTGCAGAGAGTAGCTGGAAGCCTGTTCTCGGATGGCCTCCTGGAGGCTCACTGGCCCCTTCTGCGCCTCCAGAAGTAAGGCTTTCAGCTCCTGCAGCCGCACACGGTTCACGTAGGTGGAACCCACCACACCGATCAGAGCCCCCAGGACCGAGCCGATGAGCGACCAGTTCTTGGTCCTCTCAGCCCGCGTGCGCTCCTTCTCGTGACTTTCCCTCACGGCCGCAGAAAAGAGGGAGAACTTCTCTCGCTCAGAGTCTTCGGCACGTATGTGGGCCGCACGAAGCCTCTTCTCCTCCTGCAGGAGCAAAACTGTGTCAGACGGCAGCCACCTGACTGTAGCCACTGTAGCCACTGTGTAGCACTGTCGCCACCAGCAACGTCCACCACTAGGACCCTGAGGCTCAGGCTCATGCCTGGCACAGAGTAGGTGTTCCAGAAACACGTGGGCTGTGAAGCAGCACAAACCCCATCAATGGAATGTGAAGGAAGTGGGCATGCTTACAAAGACCTGCAGTCCTTCCCAAGCAGTCTTAGGTCTGACCACTGTCTGTAGGCTGTGTCTATCAGAAGGGCAGTGCCTAGGACAGTGATAGTAGAGTAGGGAGGGTGTTTGCCTTGCACGTGGCCAACCCGGGTTCAATCCCCAGCATCCCATCTGGTCCCCCAGTACTGTCAGAACTCATTCCTGAGTGCAGAGCCAGGAATAACTCCTGAGCATCACTGGGTATGGCCCAAAAAGGAAAAATAAAAAGAATGGCAGTGGATATGCCCTCTGGCACTTTGATACACCTTGCTTCTGGAACCCATCTGCTTGGTAGGAGCTCCTGGTGCACCCCCTACATTACTTTTTAACCAGCAGACCATTAAGGGTCTCCCCCCACCCCGCCAAGCCTACCTGTAGCATTCTGTGCTCCAGGGTGGCCAGCTCCAGGTATTGGTTGTCATCCCGGGAGATGCGGTCCAAGCGGTCCCTCACCTCCTTCAGCTTGGCCTGCTGAGCTTCCAAGTCTTCCCGAGCCTCTCGGACAAGGCCTCGAGCCACCATGAACACTTTCTCTGCCTGCAGAAAAAAGAACAGAGGTGAGCAGCCCCTTTCCTCTGCATGCACTTGGGCTCAACTCTTTTCCCAAGGTGGCTGCTGGCTGCTGAGAAGAGGCCACGGGGCCCTGAGTGCAGAGGGTGGAAATAAAGCCCCTCAGCTCCGTTGTCTTGGATCTCCCAGAGGTCCTCTAAGTGCCCCAGGCTACGCCTGTCAGAGCCGGTGGATTTATGCATTCATGCAGAAATAAGACGCCCTGGGGAAATCTGGAAATAGCTAACAATGCACCAGACCTGGTACGTGCTGAACACCAACCCACTGACAGCCCGAGGAGCATGTTCTTAAGCTGATGCAGGTGTGTCACCTTCCTTCTGCCCCACACAGTGCCGTGAGAGGCATCACTGCTACAGCCTCCTTCACAGACGCAGAAACCCCAGGTCAGCCCAAGCTGCGTCACCTCCAAGCAGTGGGCCTTGGGGGCCTCCCGCTGACCCCCAGGCTCTTCTTGCCTCCATACCCTGCTCTGTGCCTAGGACAGAATGGAAACAGGAGTGGCAGAGTGCACTTCTGAGAACACAGCCTCTGCGGGCAGCTCTCCTCCACAGCGCAGTTCTCAGTGTCCTGGTCTTCCCAACAGTCTTGAGGGCCCTGGGATGCCTGCTCCAGACCCCTCTAACCACCTGCCCCCAGTGCTGCCAGGGCATCTGCAGGCCCTAACAAGATGGACAGAAATGGTCAGCAACTAGTGAAACACAGCCACTGTCTTCAGTTCCACAGAGAGCCTGACCCAGGACATCCTCGGTGCTGCCATGTACAGAAGCCAGGTTCTCTGGTGAAAAACAAGCCAATTCCCGCCACCCACCCCACCTCAGTGAGATCACGCCACCTCAGTGAGATCACTGGCCACATGCAAGACCAGTGCCCAACCCACTGTACTATCTCTCTGGCTCTGGGGCCTGACCAAGTTTACTGTGGAGGAGTTTGAAGATGCAGTGGCTGAAAAGCAGCTCATCCCAGATGGTGGTGGGGTCAAGTACATTCTAAACCATGGGCCTCTGGACAAGTGGTGGACACTGCACTCCTGAGAGCCTCGGCGCTGTCTCCTGAGTCCCCGCTTCCCACTCCAGCTCTCACCATCCCATTAAAGGGCCGTAAGTTTCCTCAGTTGGCAGATCTTCCCATGTCAGGACACCGGCCCACATCCCTTCTCACCTCAGTCACATTTCCCTGAGCCTCTCGAACCTCATTGAGTCCAACAAACTCTTCATATCTGTCCCACCAGATCTTGGCTGTGGAGGACACTCGTTGTTGAAAGCTGCGCCCCACGGTCCTGCCCAGTGCTGACAGGCGGCTGTAGAGTACCTCCTCGGGCCGTTTCTCTCTGGGCTGGCTCGAGCCTGGGCTGCAGAAAGTCCTGGTCACAACAAGGTCCCTGCCAAGGAGGCCTCTTCGCACCAGACCCGGGGATGCACCCACAACGTGCTGCATGCTGAACATGGGCTGCACCCCGTCATGGGGAAACCTGCAGGGGGGACACCAGACAGATCAGCTCACAGTGGGAAGGCTGTCACGTCAGGTTCCCAGGCCCACGATGGTTCTGAACAGCATGATTTCTGGCCTGCAGCCAGCGGCCCCCTGACCCCCACCCCCAAGCTCTTGGGCAATGAAACTGAATGGGAAAGAACCAGGATTCTCATTCAAGCCACCCCCCACCCCTTCCTTACTCCGCACCCTTCCCCGATTCTGCTATGGCTCAAATGAGAATCCTGGTACCAGTTCTCTAATGTCGAAGTTGTATCTTTGCTAGGGCCAGAGCGATAGTAGAGCAGATAGGGCCTCTGCATGTGGCCAACCCAGGTTTGATCTCTGGCACCCCCTATGGTCCCCTGAGCATTGTCAGGAGTAATTTGTGAGTGCAGACCAGGAGTAACCCCTAAGCATCACTGGGTGTGGTGCCCCAAAAAACAAAACAAAACAAAGCAAATTGTATCTTTGCTGCCAAAGTCCCAAAAAGACACATAAAGATTCCAAGGAGAACTGTGTCACTGAGGGGATTTCAGGGAAAGTTTCAGCAAAAGACTCTCAAAACAGAACAGGGCTAGGTAAGGCACTTGCCCTGCATGCGGTCAACCCAGGTTTGATCCACGGCATCCCATATGGTGCTCCGAGCACCGCCAGAAGTGATCCCCAAATGCAAAGCTAGGAGAAACACCTGAGCATTGCTGGGTATGGCCTCCAAAAACAAAAAACCACCTCTCAAAATCAACTTCCGAGTCAGTGACCTGAAGGCTGCCTCAATACTGGGAAGCAGTTTCAGTTAAGCTCCAGGAGGGCTGGGACGTGCTCCAAGGGCGGGAGTGCACGCTTTGCTTCGCCCGTTGGAACCCCAGGTTTGCTTTATCTCCAGCACTGCAGGGTGTGGCCCACAAACCGAAAATGAAGTTTGAGAGCATAAGTCCTTCAAGCCCAAGATAGAAATTTCCTTCCTCAGCTCTCCTTTGAGAAGGCATTTCAGGGGGCTGAGGAGGGCACAAAAGAACAAGCACCTCCTCAGAGCTCCTCTCAGGCTCACAGGCTCACACCAGCCCTTCTTCTGCCTGAGTCAGACTTAGCTACCAACCCTAGTCTCACATTTCTCACCCTCCTGAAGCTGAGTCCCTCCTTTCCCATTTAAGTCACTGCTCAACAGGTTAGGTTTCTTTAATCTCTTCTTTCCCCGCTTGGCTTTGATGTGTGGGCCCCAACGCCTACTGCCTCCAGATCATTTCCTTAACAACACAGGGAGTCAGCTTCCCATTATCCAGTCAGGCCCTGCCCCAGTACGGGAGCAGCAGTGACTGCTAAGGACCTAGAGTGAGGCCCAGTGACCCATGCTGGGCAAATCTGGACCAGCTGTACCCTCCTCTGATTAACAGCACCCCACCCCCACCCCCACCCAACTCACCACCTGCACCTCTCTCTACCAGCTCTATCTGCTAGAGTGACACCCTGTGGCCAAATGGCGGAATAGCCAGAAAGACAAGAGCACAAAGAACAGGGAGACAAGGCAGGAGACTGCAGGCTTGCCAGCTACCAGGAAAGGGGCTTCCTGGGCCAATGCAGAGACCTGCTCACAGAACCTTAGCCCCCTCCCCATCCTGCCCACTGGGACAAACTCAGGTCCATGAAAACAAAGTTGAATACGGAAATGCCTCTTGGGCAAAATGGCCAGAACAGAGACATGGGAGGGAACATCCCTGCAACTGATTCTAAACTGTGGCACTGCATGGGATCCCTGGCTCCCCTTAAGGAGGCCCAAAGGAGCCCAAAGGAGCACACATACACAGACACACAGACATACACTGACACAGACACACACACCAGTTGAATGGCAAGAGTCAGGCAAGCCCCAAGACCCTGCACCCAAGCTGTGACCTACAACAATCCTGCACAATGACCCCCCTCATCTAAGCAAAGTGCAGAGCTTGGAGGCCCTGCCAAACACAGTGCCCACTTCCCTTGGCAATGCCCCATACAGAAGTGTCACTGGGGCTGTCGCTTTTTCCCAGGCCCCCTCATTCTTGATCCTACTCAACCCAGGTTGCTCTCCCAGGCCTCTCAAAACTCCTGCCAGATCCCGCAGGTGCTGTTCAGATTGCTTCAGTTTCTCTGCAGCTTTCAACATCCTTTTGTTTGTATTTTGTTTTAGTGTTGGGGTCACATCAGGTGCTGCTCAGCGGTACCCCTCACCCAATGCACAGGAACCACACAGTACATCAAGTCTAATGTGGGGCCAGGCATAAGGAGGCCACTGGGCCACACCCCCATCCAACACTCTCTTTGTCATGGCCACACCCAGCGTTACTCAGAGTTTACTCCTGGTGGGGCTCTGGGAACCATATAGGGTGCTGGGGATCAAATCCATGTTAGCCACGTGCCTTACCTGCTGTACAATCCCTCCATATCCATCCTCACTTTTAATTAATAACTTACTTCGCTTGGCCAGAAAAATACAAGAAACTGGAAAAGTACCCCCACTACACCTTCCTGTAGTATCTGTCCCCTTTCCATCTTTTCCTCCTGATCCTCAGGATGAAGAATTTATGTTACAAGGAAGACTAAGCTATGCCCCAGGTACCAAGTCCTCTCCCCACCCCACAATCACTCATTAATCATCAGTCACTGATCACCAGTCATCAGAGTGTCTACTGTCCCCCAACTTCTGCTCCACTTCTTAATTTCGATCTGGAATCAACCTCCCCAACAACCAGTATCCAACCATCTCCAGTCCCTCTTCCCATTTTGTTAAACCCTCTCTAATCTATTCTTCACTCCCAACAGGTCACTAGAATGGCTTTTGTTTACATCATCTCCACATTGCTAAACCCAATAATCAGTTCTCAGTCCTCAGACACTCACCCTGTCTGCAGTCCATCCCTTGGAACAGTTCCCTCCTTGAAAGGTGCAAGGTGCATCCAGTTCCCACTCATCTCCCCATTTCTACCAGAGGCTCAGGGTTCAGTCTTCTGTCTCCTCCCATACAGTCCCCTGGCTCTAAAACCACCTGGGAAATGTTCTAAAATCGACCATGTTGCAGTGATGGCTGCAAAACATTGTGAATGTTGAAGCAAAACCACTGACTTCACATAGTAAACAGGTGAATTACTTGCCAAGTATCTCAATTCAGCTTTTGCTGGACAGAGGATGTTGATCAGTGATAGAGAGCATCCATATATGTGTGGTGCTCTGAGTTTGATCCCTAGCATCACAATAAAAATAAAAAAGAAAGAACGAAAAATAATCAATAGGGTTGGAAGTGAAAGGACAGCAGGTTGGGTTCTTGCCTTGCATGCAGCTGACTTAGGTTTGATGCCCAGCATCCCATATGGTGCCCCGTGAATTACCAGGAGTGACTTCTGAGCAGAGCCAGGAGTAATCTCTGAGCATTGCTGGGTGTGGCCCAAAAAACAGAAAAAGAAAAGAGAGAAAAACTGTATTGATTATGGCTCGGTTCACTCCTCTGGATTTCAGGTCCACTGATCTGTCAATCCATCCATATCTCTGCTTGAAATGCTAAAAGGGACCTTATTTCCCTGCCCCCAAGCCCCAAAGTTGTTTGTTCCACAACCTTCATCTTGACTTATAGAAACACCATGACCTCACAAGGCCAAAAGTCTTATTCACCCCTCACTGAACTTTTTTTCTCACGTCATAGTCCATTAGTTACTGTCACTTCCTTTAGAAACTTGCCACCAAACAAGTCTCCCAGATTCCACACTAGCACCTATGGTCTATTTATCAATCTGTGCCATGTCTGAAAGCAACCAGTGTCCACTCAAAAGCATGCCAGATCCCACCGCTGTGCTCAAAGCCTGCAACAGTTCCTCATTTCTCCAAGGTAAAAGCCTAAATACTTTCCTATGGCTTACAGGGCATCTGCCTCCTGACTCATTCTTCTCTGACCTCATCACCCACTAGTCTCTTTCCCACCCTTGTTCATCATGTGCACCTTTGCCCCAGTTTCACTGAGTCTAAGATGTACAATGTAATGATTTAATAAACATGTTGCTGATGAAAGTCAGCTTAACACAGTTCAACTCATAAATTTTGCATGAACCTTCTTGATGTTGCTGAACATCCGAAAGCTATCCTGCCTCATTACCTGTTCTGTCTTCTGATAGAGAACTGTTCACTCTCTGTGAACTGCTGATCCAAGTATACTGTTTCAGTATCATCCCATCCATCGGCAACTCCTTACCCACTATCTCTGCCTTATTACCTAATTTTCTGCGCGCGCACACACTTCCCATGACCTATGACATGCATTTCATTTACTTTGGTTACAGTTCATGAGGACTTCAGTATTGCCAAGGCTGACACTTTTTGTTCACCATACATATGTATGAAAGTCTATTAACATCATATATGAGCAAAAAAGTGTAGAGTGGGTGAATACACAGAATTTGCAAAAAGTCACATCCTGGATCACAAACCTAAACTCCCTCCGGTGGTCTGCAAAGCTCTAGGTTCATGTGCTCTAGCCCTTTCCCACTCCGCGACCTCTCTCGCATCTCCTGGCCACGCTGTGCCTTCCTCGGCTCCAGGAATGCGGCAAAGGTTCCTCGGAAGACCTCTGCTCTTGCCCTTCCTTCTACCTGCAACGCTTTCCCCGGGCGCCTTTCCAGTCCCGGCGCCTTCCGGTAAAGCACCGTCCCGGCTTCCGGACCCTCCCCTCGCCTCACGACCCTCCTCCTCTTTACCTGGCGCGCCCGGCGCCGAAGCCGAAGTCCCAAAACAGCGCCTGCCACTCAGCTCACCTCTGACCCTCTCGCGCCCGCCTCCCGGGGCCGCTTCCGGGAGTGCCACTTCCTGGTTGGGAGCCAATCAGCGAGCGCGCGCCGAGCTGCCGCTCTCCGCTTCCTGTGGCAGAGCCCGGGCGAGGGGCGGCAGGCGCCATGTCCGGCCGCGAAGGTGAGTGGCCGGGGCAGGAGTGGACGGTGGGGGACGGGGTGGGACGCGCCGGAGCCCGGGCTTGAGCGTGCGGGTGTTCGTCCGCAGGTGGCAAGAAGAAGCCCCTGAAGCAACCGAAGAAACAGGCCAAGGAAATGGACGAGGTGAGGGCAGGCGCCGGCCGGGGCGTGGACGGGCGCGTAGGGCTGGGAATCCCGCCCGCTCTTACCCCGCTCTGTCTCTCTCTAGGAAGATAAGGCATTCAAGCAGAAACAGAAGGAAGAGCAGAAGAAACTCGAGGAACTGAAAGCCAAGGCCGCGGGGAAGGGCCCCCTGGGTGAGTGAGGGCCGGATCTGGCGTGCGCGGGGGTGCTCGCCGGGGCGCCGTGGCGGCCGGCCACCCGGCCGGCCAGCCAGTGATCAGCGCGGTGCTCCCAGCAACGAGAAGGGGGCTGGAGCCAGATCAGGTCTGGAAACAAAGTCTGCCTGTCTCTTGGGCAGTCCGTGCACCCCTTCTTTAAGGAAGCTTCAGAAGTGACCGCAGAGAAGTTAACTCAAGGCGCACACATTTCACGCGAAACCAATACTTTTTTTTGCTGTATATTTTATTTTGTTTTGGGGTCACACCCGGCCGTGCGACAGGCTCTGCACTCAGGAATCTCCTGGCCATGCTTGGGGGACAATATGGGATGCTAGGGATTGTACCTGGGTCCTCCGCCTGCAAGGCAAACGCCCTACCCCCGCTGTACTGTATCGCTCTGGCCCCAGCCGTCACAATTATTTACTTGCTACTCATGTTAAATCCAGTGAATACTGGGACCTGGGAGATGGCGCAAAAGGTCTGGAATGTCAGCATAGCTTGCTCAGGGGCTCTGGGGTCTAGTACCAGAATCTCATGCACTGCTGGGGATTCTCCCACAAATTTTTATTTAACTTTATTACTTTTGGGTGCTGACAGACTTGAAGGATAATGTCCAGACTCTTTGTTTTGCTGTTCCACTATATGCCTTCCCCACAATCTTCTGTGGTGCTACACTCAGTATGGTGAGGTGAAGTTAGCTCCTAGAGTTGCTGAGGGACCATGCTGTGGTAGAAAACAGGGTTCCTGCATGCAAACAGAGAAAGCATGGCTCTAGCCAAAGAGTTGCTGGAGTCCCTTTGTGCTTTTTTCAACCTAATTATTTTTTTGTTTGTTTTGGGGGGGCTACACCTGGTATTGCTCAGGGGTTACTCCTGACTGTGTATTCAGGGATAAATCCTGGCTTGGGGTACCGTATGCCAAGGCCACTATTGAACCTGGGTAAGGTATTGAACCCAGGTAGGCAAGTGCCTTACCCACTGTACTATTATTTCTCTCGCCCCCTAATCACCCTCTATTCTGTCTCTTCCTAGAATCTAAGAGGACTTGGTATTACAAAAAGATTTTTTGTAACAGATTTCTTTCTGGGTATTATTTTTGTTTGAACTGTGGTAACATTGTATAATACTTTGTGCTTCTGAGACAGTTAATTAATTCACAAAAAGAATTCTCTTTTCCCCTTAATGACTTGTTCTGCTCCATTACTGTGAGCCATACTGGGGCTGTGGAGGGTGGCATGGTATAAGTTAATCAGGACTTTGCAAGATTTCTAACTCAATGGGGCTGGAGTGATAGCACAGTGAGTGGGGCATTTGCCTTCCACGTGGCTGACCCGGGTTCGATTCCCGGCATCCCATATGGTCCCCCAGCACCGCCAGGAGTAATTTCTGAGTGCAGAGCCAGGAGTAACCCCTGTGCATCGCCAGGTGTGACCCAAAAAGCAAAATAAATAAATCAAATTGAAAAAAAATGATTTCTAACTCAAGAGTTTTCCAAAGTGCCAGGATTCTTGTTGCTTGTTTTAAGAAAGATACAAGGGGCCGGGAGTGATCCCTCGCATTCCATATGGTCTACCCCACCCCCCGTAAGCCTACTGGGAGTAATTCCTGAGGGCAGAGCCACCAATAACTCCTAAGCTTTGCCAGGTGTGGCCCCAAAACAAGAATGGTGCAAGATACTTTGCACCTTCCATTTATTTGTGCTTGTGTATAGAAAGAAAATTAACCCTTAGTAAAATTTTATACTATTTTCTCAGAGCATCATCTACTTTTTGTTGTATTTGAGTTTTGAGCCACACCTGGCTATGCTCAAGGTTTATTTTCGGCTTTGTGCTCAGGGATCACTTCTGGTGGTATTCAGGGGACTCTAGGATGCTCAGGATAGAACTCAGGTCAGCCTGTACAAAGCAAGTACCCAGTCCACTGTACTGTCACTTCTGCTCCATATCAACTTTTAAATTCTAATGCTTCAGTTTTTGCCCATACCCAGCAGTGCTCAGGGAAACTCCTGGCTCTGCACTCAGAAATTGATCCTGGCCATGCTTGGGGACCAGTGGGATGACAGGGATCAAACCCAGGTTGCAGGAAGGCAAGGCAAGGGCCCTATCTGCTGTACTGTCTATCTATCTGTCTCTATTCCTAAGCTACTTTTTCAAAAAGATTCATTTATTTTGGGACCATACCCAGCAGTGCTCAAGCACTGACTCTCCTCTGGGATCACTCCTGATGGGCTCCAGGTACCGTATGAAGTGCGGGGAGTTGAACCTAGGTCAGCCATGTGCTAGACAAGTGCCCTCCCCACAGTACTATCACTCTGGCCCCATAAAGATTTTTTTTAACTACCTTTTTTGGTCTTTAGTATAGTCATACTTAATTTTACAGCTTTCTACCTATTGTGTGCCAATATATAGGCATTTTTGGTGTTTGTTTTGTTCTGATTTTTGAGCCACAACCAGTGGTGCTAAGAAAACTGAGTCACTGAGGATTGAATCCAGTTTTTCCCCACACAAAGCATGAGTCCTCTGAATTATCTGGATATGAGTGTGGGGGCTTATCTATAGAGCCTTACATGGCCTTGCCATGGATTCAAACTGTCATCAGCGGGATAAAGGGCAAGCACCTGACCCATTGTGTATTCTGTCCAGCCCATATAGTCAGAGAGAGAAAATGTGTGTGTTGTGTGTGTGCATGTGAGTTAATATGAACTAGGGGGAGGAGAGATAGTCCAATCATTAGGGCATTTGCTTGAACACAGCAAACCCATGTTTGATTCTCTGAATCCCATATGGTTGCCCAAGTCCAAGTTCCCCAGGAGTAATTATTGAGTGCATGCTGGGTGTGCACCCACCACCACCAAAAAAAAGAAAAGAAATACGGACTTGTAGGAGACAGGGGTGGAGCTCAGTGACAAAACAATTGCCTTGTGCACATGAGGTCTTGGATTTGATCCCTAGCACCATTTTCTTTTTAAAGAAGGATTTGTGGGACTGGGGGAATAGCTATGGGCCCAGGGCATATGTAAGACCCTGAGTTTGATCCCTTGTACCACATGGTCCCTTTAGCACTGCTGGGCTCTAGTGTTGAACTCTCAGCCTAGGTTGGCTGCCAAGAGTGGTTCCTGGGACCTCCTGTGCACTACTTGGGTGCCTCTGTCTCCCCACCCCCAAAATTGAGGATATGAACTGGAAAGTCAAACTATTTAGCTTGGAGTTCTGGCTTTGAACAATGAAGACTTCATTACCTCTATAGCAGGTTGATAGGTGATATGAATTAAAGAGCCAGTCTATGATGTGCACAACAGTGTAAATCAGATCAGGACTTTTGTGCACCTGCCTCATTCTGCTTTTGCCTAGAATAGACAACATTAATAGAGCCCTGTGCATGCTTGTGTCGAAAAGAATGTGCAATACCGGAGTCAAGCTTTATACACTGGGGCCCGGGACTGTAAGTTTTTCCCTAACTGGAAACTTTTTCCTTTTGTAGCCACTGGTGGAATTAAGAAATCTGGCAAAAAGTGAGCTGTTCCATGTGCTGAAGATAATGGTGATCTTTAATTCTATTACTGGTTAAACATCTGGATTCTCTGCGTAACCTCAGTTGCCAGCAGTACCTAGGATGAAGTGTTTTTGGAACCTGTTGTACACTTAAGAATAAACTTCTGTAGAAAAATTTAAAAAAAAAAAAGAAGAAAAAGAATTCATAAGGTTGCTCATTCTCTGGTTCTCTGGTTCTCAGCTATTTTTATGGTAGCTGTGAAGTCAGTAAACCTAGCCCAGAATCCTGCCAAAGTGTACTTTTCTCAAGTGTTTGGTCTATCCCTTATTCTGTACCATCTGAAATTAAACCAACTCATTTGAAACAGCTTTGTTTTTGTGTGGTTGTATACCAAACAGAACATGTGAGGTAAGTGGAATAATATATACTTTGTAAAGAAATCCACTCTGGTTTTGACATTCTGTTGCCATTTATTCTAAGGTTTATTCTTCATATAAGGAGTCTTGTATGTGCAGACTGGGCATATACAATGAATAGTTCTTGTTGTCAAGGTGTTTCTCTTAGGAGGAGCAGGATGAAAAAAATACTTCTTGTGAGAGGAATAAGGCTGTAGAAAGGATATTCCTAAAAGGATCTTAAGACCCAAGTCTACCTCAAAGCCCACATGGTCTGCACTTCCACTGGAGGTTCAAAAGATCCCTGCTAGGTTTCAGTGCCTAATACTTCATCAGCAGAATTATTTCTAGCTCTTGTATACTTACTCCAGTGCTAATTCCACCCCCATTCCTTTTATTTTTGTTTTTGGGCCATACCCAGTGGTACTCAAGGGCTTACTCCTGGCTGCGCTCAGTGATCATTCCTGGCAGTATTCAGGAGACCATCTGGGGCACCGGGGTTCAAACCCAGGTCAGCCATGTGCAAGGCAAATGTCCTACCCACTGTGCTATCCCTCCAGCCCTAACACCACCCCCATTTTAACCCAATCATTCCTTACTGGATCATGGCATACACATCCAAATTTGTCTACTGCACCTTCCCTGACTTCCCTACAGATTAATCTCCACTTGACACCCAGAGTCATGTGACTTGTACGGGGCTTAAGAGGTTTATTTGCTGTGCATGTGACAGACCCCAGTTTGATCCCTGGGCTCACTCCTGAGCAGAATCATGAGTAGTCCCTAAGCACAGACAACGGTGATCCCAAAAAACAAAGAAATGAAGGATAATGTTAATGAAAATAACATTTTCTATGAAGTGCTCTGGGAACTCCTTTGAGATTTTGTTAAGGCAAAACTGACAAAGTGACCCAGAGGAATACTGCCTACCTAGCACTGATCAGTTTAAGTTCCAGGTGCCCTATGTGAATTGAGCAGCCCTACTGTCTCCCATTCCTGGCACTGCGAGCAATTTCAAGCCATACCACTGCCAGCTCTGAGCATCACAAAAAGAGGTCTGCTCAGTGTGGCCCACAAACAAAATAATAGAACCAGAGAAGTACTGTATGCCTGGAATACAAAGGCTCTGGGTTCAATTTCTGGAACTGCATGGTCCCTAAGTCCTGCCAGGATGGCCATGGTGGACCGCAGCACTGATGGGCCCGTGCAGCATGGGGTTGAATGTTAACAGTAGTTCCTAGGGCCTTCTGGAGATTGAGAGACTCAAGGAATTCTAGGCTCTGGAATGTAACTCTGAAATAGAGCTGTTTGAGGGTATGAGTTTGATCCCTGGCATAGCCAAAAAAAAAAAAAAAAAAAAAAAAAACGGAGAGAGGAGGGAATAAACAAACTGGAAAAAATTCTGATAGCTTGAAACCTGTTATAACTAATGTAAATTGGTTAAAATTAAAACCAATCTGCTTTGATTTCCTGGAATGTCGCACCGCCAGCAGCATATTCTTTGGACTTTAGGCTCACCCTAAGTGGCCTTGCCTGCCAGCACACAACCCTGTCCTGAGAACCAACTTTCTTTTCTTTCAGCCGGTGATGCACAGGGTTACTCCTGGCTCATGCACGCAGGAATCACTCCTGGTGGTGCTCGGGGGACCATATGGGGATGCTGGGAATTAAACCTGGGTCAGTCATGTGCAAGGCAAATGCCCTACCCACTGTGCTATCGCTCCAACCCCCTAGAGAACCAACTTTCTGAGGGTCAGCCAACATATTGTCCCCAAGAACAAGCACTGCTTTTTTTTTTAATTGGATGAAACCTAATCCCTCCTGTCAAATGAAGTACAGTGCTGTCTCTTTACAACAGACCCTACTACTCCAATTAAGACTTAAGCATTCTGGGTCCAGAACTGGTAGGGTGCTTGCCTTGCATGCAGCCCACCTGGGTTTGATCTCCAGCACCATATGTGGTCCACCGGAGCCACCAGGAGTAATCCCTGAGCACCACCAGGTGAGACCCCCAAAACAAAACAAAGACTTATGCACTCTATTTGGGCAACGATCAGAGTCTGCTAGTCTTAAACTAAGCTCTTGGGGCCAGAATGATAGTATAGCGGGTAGGGCATTTGCCTTGCACGCGGCCGACCCACATTCAATCCCTGGCATCCCATATGGTCCCCCAAGCACCACCAAGAATAATTCCTGAGTGCAAAGCCAGGAGTAACCCCTGAATGTCTCTGGGTGTGACCCAAAAAGAAAAGGGGGGAAAAAAACTAAGCTCAGGTGTTCAAGACTTCAGGCTGTTAATCATCCCCCTTTTCATTTTTTGCTTTCACTTACAGGACACTCAGAGGCCAAGTTTGCCACTGAGAATGAAGACAGCCTGCTAGTCAACACTGTATTCCTGCTGTCAGTGCACACAATACTGCCCAATAAAATCCTACCGAGGGGCAGGGGAGACAGTGTGGGAGGTAAAGCACTTGCCTTGAAGCTGACTCTGCTTCAATTCCTAGCACCATATATGATCCCCTAGCACTGCAGGGTGGGCCCCAACCCCTCCACGCCCCCCCACTCATATCCTATTGAGGGACTGTAGCGATAGAAAAGAAATAAGAACAATCCCAATGGGTTGCATTCTAAACATGGTTCAAATCCCTAGCACCACATGTGGTCCTTAGAGTAGAGACAAGGGACACTCCTGAGCTCAGAACCAAGAATAGCCCCTTGAGCACTGCCAGATGCAATCCAAAATACAGAATGTTCTTGAGCCCAAAGTGGACTCAAGCCCAGTCTGAATTCCTACTCTTCGAAGGTTTGCCTTCTCTCACAAAAAAAGAGCTCATTTATTTTTTATCTAAGGGGTCTTACGTTATCAGCGTCTTTGCTCACTTAGTAATTCCCATTCAACATGTAGGATAGATCAGGTGCAACTTCAGGGGACTTTCTTTGACCTGAACTTCATTTCAATATGACCAGCACTTGAGACAAAAACACCTAAAGCCCTTATGAGAATGGAATAAATGTTAATAGCTTGAGTAGTTCCCATCCTCCAACAAAGACATGTTGCTCTCAGGCTCATCTGCTCTTAGGCTATTCCTCCCTAGACCTATTTCAAATGGATAAATTTTTGTTTTTGTATTTGGATCACACCCAATGGGGTTCAGAGCTTCCTCCTGTCTCAGTGACTAGTTGTCACACCTAGCAGGCTTAGGGGTACAGTATGGGGTGCCAGGTATTGAACCCTGATCAACTGTGTGCAATAACGCTATTCGCTGTACTCTCCGGACCTCAGATGGATAAATTTTGAGCTACTTTGTATATTCAAAGGTATTTACTGCTGTTCACAACATCCCTTTATATACTCCTCATCCATCCAGTTTTCCCACGCTCCTCCACCGAGCATTTGGGAGTATGTGAGAGATGGGTACAGCGGGAAGACAAGCTCTGGGCGGTAGGACACAATCAAAGCCTTGAATGCTGCTGCTGTCTGCATTCAGATGCACACGATGGGGTCCAGGGAGATGTCCTACAGGCCTGGGGCAATGCTTTCCATACCTGGAGCCCCAAGTTGAATCCTAGCCCTTTATGGTCTTAGCACCTCCCAGTGTGGCCGCAGTGACTGCCTCCAAATGATTTGCACATGCAAGTGGCGAACTGTGCATTGCAATGGGTCTGTAGCGCACGAAATAACTCTGTGTGTGTGTGTGTGTGTGTGTGTGTGTGTGTGTGTGTGTGTGTGTGTGTGGAGGGCCGGAGTGCCGAGCCTCGAACCCGCACGCTCGGCAACCCACGGTCTCCCCGCAGAGAAGGGAGTATCTGCAGCTGCAGCTACCGTGGGGGGGGGGGGGGGGGGGTCCGGTCGCGCGACCAAAAAAGGGGGCAGGCGGAGTTGAGCGCCACGGCGCGCTAGGATGTGCGTCATTCTCCCGCGCCCGCCGGCTGTCAGCTGATTGGCCCGGGAGGTCGGGGGCGGGGCCTCAGGCTGAGGTGAGCGGCGGCGCGTGAACTGTTGGTCCGGTTCTGGGCTCGCGGCCCAGCGGCCCTGTCCGGTCCTCTCGAAGACTAGCGGCGGAAGGCATGGCTCGGACGCCCACGCCGGGCAGCAGGAGGCTGAGCGGGCTCCCTGTGCCTAGCCCTGGTCTGCTGCCCAGCGCCGGGCGTCCTCCGAATAAGAGAGTCCGGGCTTTCCCCGCAGTGGTCTTCTCGGACCCCGAAGACCCGTTCGGCGCGCACGGGGATTTCACTGAAGACGACCTAGAAGAGCTTGACACGCTCGCATCACAGGCTCTGAGCCAGGGTCCGGCCGCGCCTCGGGACGTGTCCAGTGAGTGCCCCACGGGGCCTTTCCCCCAGAGCCCCCTTTGATGGTTGTGCCTTCACAACCCCTCGGCGACCGTCTCAAACCCATGTTGGCCCTTCGCTCTTTTCAGTCTAGGAACTTAGATCTCGTTTTAAGCAGCGGTCGTGTCTCAAAAGCTGCTCTGATTTTTAGGGAGAAATGTATAAGCAAAATCAGGCCGCCTGTTTGAAATCCAGAAAGCATGGTTAACGTTTTACTGGAGTTTCTAAAGTTTGAGCCACTGGGGTCTTGGTTCGAAGCAGAGATCCTTAGAACATGAACCACCACTGTCAGAACCATGAGGACACCCAAGGACCCATTTTTTTGACCCCCTTGAGCCACTGGAACATAATATAGTCTGGCTGAGGCAAAAGATGAGCTACTTTGGACTGGAGTGATAGCACAATGGGTAGGGCGTTTGCCTTGCATGCAGTCGACCCGGGTTCGATTCCCAGCGTCCCACATGGTCCCCGGAGCACCGCCAGGAGTAATTCCTGAGTGCATGAGCCAGGAGTAACCCCTGTGCATCACCGGCTGTGACTCCCCAAAAAGAAAAAAAGATGAGCTACTTCTTTCAAGCAGTCAACACATTATACCTGAGCCCAAACCCTGGGAACTGCAGCACTAGCAAAGAAAACAAAGACAGGTTCCTTCCTTGTGGCATTTTCATTCTGGTTGGGGAACAAGTGAAGTCTTGTGAGCCTCCCAGATAGAAAAGGGTCCAAGGGCACCTTGCATCTCTGCTTGGATCTTCAGCTCCTCATATTCCGAGGACATGGGAGGGGCCATCCACTGGCATCTACCGCATAGCACCTGGCAAAGCACACAGAAAACATACTGTGGACCAACTGTTCCTCCCAGCCAGCACAAGGAATCAGCCCTCCTACATCTAACTGCTTCCCCAATCTTCCACCTTCTTGTTCCTCCCTCCCTCCCATCCTTCCTTATTTTGGGACCACAGCTAGCTATGCTTAGGGCTTACTCCTGGCTCTGAGCTTAGAGATCACTCCTGGCTGATTGTATGAGGTCCCAGGGATCAAGAGTCATGTTAACAATGGACACTGTAAGTGCCTCACCCGCTGTGCTTTTTCTAGTGCGCTCCTCTACCTTAATCCATCTCTGTGGTCCATTCTCAGCATCATTTCTACCATTTCTCTTTAAACATGTTAACCATCACCTCTCCTCTGGATAACAGTTTGCTAAATTCTCTTTCCATGTCTAATCTTGATGCCCTACAAATCAGACTTCATACCACATCAAGAATGATTTATTCAGAACTTAGATACTGGCTGTCTCACACAGATGCGTGTGAGAATCCTTGAATGAGTTTTCATTAACATTTTGATATAATGATTATGGCCTACAAGACCCAGCGTGGTCTGGCCCTTATCCACTCTCTCTAGGGAATGCTGAACGCCATTCCTTAAGTTTTCTCTTCCTGCTTACATTACAGACATTTTGTATATTTCTATGTCTAGTACTTGAGTATTCTTTCCATCCATTCTCCCTAGTTCTCTTGATTGATTTTTTTTCTTTTTGGGACACACTCAGCGATGCACAGGGGCTACTCCTGGCTCATGCACTCAGGAATTACTCCTGGCAGTGCTCAGGGGGACCATATGGGATACTAGGAATCGAACCCAGGTCAGCCACATGCAAGGCAAATTCCCTACCCACTGTGCTATCGCTCCAGCCCCTCTTGATTGATTCTTGATTGTTCTTCAGCTCTTAGTTTTGTCCTCTGTTCCATAGAAAAGTGTACCAGTCATTTCAGTTGGAGCAAATCCTACTCTTAAAAGAGAGGCTTTTCTAGGTTTATTCTCTGCTACAGCACTCATCAGAGTTGTAATTTTATATTTGTGCAGTTGTTTTGTTTGTGTGGGGGGCCACATCTTGTAATGCTCAGGGGTTACTTCTGGCTCTGCACTGGTGCTCGGGGACCATATTGAATGCTGGCCGAACCACATTGGCCATTTGCAAGGCAAATGCCTTACTCCCTATACTTTATCTTTAGGCCTTGTGTGATTGTTTTTTAATGCTCTATATAAACTGTGAGTGTAAGAAAAATGCAGTTTACTCATCAAATTGTGCCTGGCATATTGAAGGTTCTCAGCAAATATTAATAAATGACCACTAAGTTTTGACCAGTGAGACAGATACTGTACCTGTCAGTCTTCAGATGAAATTTGAATCTTGGTTGGGATTAGAGGGAAGGTACTAGGATCTGTCATTTCATAAGAATTATTTATGAGTTTGAAACATGTTCTTAAGTTAGAAAATACATTGCTTTATTGCTGACTAGCTCTTGTTCTAATGTGTGTTAAGAATGATTCTTTTCTGCATTGTCTGACAAAAGTGTGACAATGATGAGTACTGAAATTTATATGGGAACTGTTTTTTACAGATGCTCAGAAGGCCCCCAGATTAGATGGAATGTCAAAAAATTCTTCAGGGAAATACAGAGAAAGTGTTCAAGTTAAAGATAATTTTGAGTTAGAGGTACTTCAAGCACAATATAAAGAACTTAAAGAAAAGGTTAGTGATTTGGGGGTATTTGTAGCTAATTCATTTACTTGTGCAAGTGTTTTAAAGCTTTTATAACAAAATATGTAAATGTTTTTAAATGTATCCAGAGCCCAGAGGAATAGCACAGAACTTAAAGGCATACCTCTTTTGCAAGCAAGAGGTAACAAATTGAAATCTCTGATGTTCCACATTGTTCCCCAGCACTGCCAGGAGTGGGCCCTGAGCACACACCCTCCCATTAAGAAAAATAGAATTCATCCAGATTCATCCTCATGAAATGGAGAGAAGGCTGGGGAAGGAAAGCCAGAAAATAAAAGTTAAAGGAAACTAAATCCTAAAATTTCTAACAGCAGGGGCTGGAGCAGTAGCACAGCGGGTAGAGCGTTTGCCTTGCACGCAGCAGACCTAGGTTCAATTCCCAGCATCCCATGTGGTCCCCCGAGCACCGCCAGGAGTAATTCCTGAGTGCATGAACCAGGAGTAACTCCTGTGCATCGCGGGGTATGACCCAAAAAGAAAAAACAAAAAATTCTACCAGCAAGGCCAAGAAACTTAACACTAAATAACAAATCCAAGAGATATAAAGTTTCTGGTATACACTGAGACAAAATTAAGCCTGATTTAAAGAATGCAGCACATATTTATATTTATATATTATAGTCTGATACGATGAATACAACATCTGGGGCCAAAGTACAATAGGCAGGGCACTTGCCTTGCATGTGACAGGCTCAGATTCTTCTCCAGCACCTCACATGGTCCTCTGAGCCCATCTGGAATGATCCGAAACACAGAACCCGGAGTAAGCCTTGAGCACTGCCAAATGTGGCCCAAAATCAAAACAAAATTAAAAAATGCAACGTCTTAATAATGTTTGCTATTTCTTTTTTTGTTTGGTTTGGTTTTGGTTTTGGGTCACATCTGGTGATGCTCACGGGTTACTCCTGGCTCTGCAATCAGGAATCACTCCTGGAGGTGCTTCGGGCACCATATGTTGGGAATCAAACCCATGTCGGCCTAGGCAAGGCAAGGCAAGTGCCCTACCCACTGCACTATTGTTCAGCCCCTTATGTTTGCTGTTTTTATGAACAGTTGCAGAAAAAGATGATCTTTCTATGACTACCTGTGGGCCCATGGAGGAATAGGGTGGGGGGAGAGGAACTGTTAACAGTAGAATTTTAGTTCAAAGAAGTGAGTTCCAGATTATTTCTTTATATTGGTTTGGGCTCCACACTCAGTGGTGCTTAGGGCTTATTCCTGGCTCTGTGCTCAAAGATCATTCCTAGAGGTGCTTCAAGGTGCTTCTTGTGTACCAAGAATTAAACTGGGGTCTACCATTATGAGACAAGCATATTAGAGTCCCAGATTATTTAACACCTGCTAGAGTCTTTAGAATTTATGGACTATGTAGTGACAAGTGAGTTCTTAACCTATTTTGCTAAAATCAGCTATCCTATGAATAGGCTTAGGAGATCATGGTCTATTTGGCAAAGATAAATTTTTAGCACTCATTATTCTATAATGCATATTGTAAATATGCTCTTTACGTTTCTGCAGCTGCATGTTTTAGCAAGTACATATATGATTTTCCCTTGCAAACTTTTCACAAGATTGATTTGGCATTTACAGATGAAGGCAATGGAAGAAGAAGTCCTCATTAAAAATGGAGAAATTAAAATTTTGCGGGACTCACTGCATCAGTCAGAATCCATCCTGGAGGAACAAAGAAAATCTCATTTCCTTCTTGAACAAGAGAAAGCCCAAGCACTCAATGACAAAGAAAAGGAATTCTCCAAAAAGGTGACTGAGCACATTTGTTTTGTTTATTGTGGATGCTAGCTTTCCCTGCTTAATAAATTCCTTTAGAAACACCATCAAAGTTGCCTATAAATCTAAGAATATTCAGCAGTTCATGATCACAATCATCCTGTTGTTCGTCAGTTGCCTCAAGCAGGCACCAATAACGTCTCCTTCGTCTTAGCCCTGAGATTTTAAAAAGTGCCATATTCAAGGCTCTTTCGGGGTTAGGAGAATGAGACCCCTCATTGTTACTGGCATTTGGCATATTGGGTACACCATGGGGAGTTTGCCAGACTCTGACGTGTGGGCAGGTTACATTTGGTAGCCTGCCAGGTTGTTTGTCTTAAATAATTTCTGGTATCAGCTAATCACGTGTACTTTCCTCCAGGCTCCACATGTAGTTTGGAAAAGAATTTAGATGAAATTGTCTTGCTTTGGTAGTTGATTTGAACAGGAATAGATCAGTAGCTTAGACTTTACAGAAATAGATCAGAAATTCTATTTCTGATCAGAAATTCTAGTAACCTAGCTTAGGCCAAAAGGAAATGTGTTAACACCCCTAATTAAGTGTGAGGAGGGGCTGGGATGATAATATAGCAGGTAAGGCACTTGCCTTTCATGTGGCCAACCCAGGTTCGATCCCTGGCATTCCATATATCCCCTGCGCACCGCCAGGAGTGATTCCTGAGGATAGAGCCAGAAGTAATCCCTGACATTGCCGAATGTGGCCCAAAAAAAAGCGAACAAAATAATTGTCAGGAAAGCAAGTATGCTGGAGTTTAGAATGACTAAACTCACCTTTGTTATTTGGCTAGACTTCTTCCTTCTGGTAGAGGATATGTTTACCAGAAGTCCCTGGCATATTTCTAAGCTCCAGTACTGACTAAATGGGTGGCTCCCTCTTCTGTAGCTTTAAGATTCTTTAAAAGGGGCTGGAGGGATGGTATAGTGGGTAGGACACTGCTTGCTGTCCCTACTGACTGACCCAGGTTCAAGATCCCCCTCCCCTCACATTCCATGTGTTCCTCCAAGTTTGCCAAGAGTGGTCCCTGAGCACAGAGCTAGCAGTAAGCCCTGAGCACCACCAGGCATGGCCCCAACTTTAAATAAATAAATCTTTTGGAAGGCCTTTTATTGGTTTAATTTGAGTCTGGATTCTGCCCATGAACCAATCACTATAACCACAGGGAAATTGCTACGCTACTTCACAATATATTATAATATATTTCCGTCAAATCACTAATTCTACAGGAAATGATTGTGTTTCAGGGAAGAGATATGCTATTCTGGGAAGAAAAGCAATAGATATCTAGTACCACTTCCCTCAGCATAGCCCAAGCTTTAATCTCTGCCATTTCTTCTTTTGGCAAACTTTAAAAGAAATATAAACAAGACCAGAGAGATAGCTCAAATGGGCTGGAGCACATGCTTTGTGTGCAGGATCCTTTGGTTTAATCTCTGTCGTCAGAGGTTCCCTGAACATTGCCAGGAGTTGTTTCCCTACCTACCCCCAGCACCACCAGATGGGACCTCAAAGAATGAGAAAAAGAGCATAATAAAATAACAGCAGTAGTTACTTTTTTATACTGGGGATGAAAAGCAAAGAACTTTCTGTCAGATCAACCAGAGTGTGAATTCAAATTTTAATCACAAATAGTGACTTCAGGAGGCTGGAGGATAAAATGTTTACTCTGTATGTAACCAGCCTGAGTTCAATCCCTGGTACCCGATATGTTTTCCTGAGCCCACCAAGTGTGATCCCTAAGTGCAGGGGCATTAGTAAGCCCTGAGCAGCACCAGATGTGCCCCAAAAGCAAAGGAAGAAAACAAGTCATAACTCAGATTTAAGTTTTATTACTCCCTTTATATTTCCAGAAAATATCAAGAAAGATCCTTCTGAGACTGAACTGGTTTTCTGTGTCCGGTGCTGTGCCTAGCACCAAGTGTGTCAGGAAAATGACAGATGTTACCTGCAGGCCAGAGCACAGGCTCCCCTTCCTCCATTGTATATGGGTAGAACTATTAGGGTACTCTGCCCATGCATAGGGATCACTCCTGGTGGTGCTTTTGGTATGAAAAATCAAAGAATGCCTGGATTTATGTACCACTGACTTCATTAAAAGTTCAAATCACTAGACTGGAGAGATGGTAAAAGGGGTGAAGTGGTGCATTAAACGCAGTACCTCATGTGGTTCCCTATGCACCACCAGGAATGGTCCCTGAGCACCATCAAGTATGATGGAGCAAAACAAAATTATATAATAAAAGGAAAAATCATGAGATACGGCAGCTTGCCAAGCTCTATATTGCGCATTTTACTTTTTATTTTTATTTATTTTTTTACTTGGTAGGCCATACCTGGCAGTGCTCAGGGATCACTCCTGGTGGTGTTTGGGGGACCAGTGTGGTGCCAGATATTAAGCTTGAGTCAACTGCATGTAAGGCAGTCATCTTATTTTCTATTCTATCTCTCTGGCAACTGGGCATTTGATTTTCAGCATCATTGTTTAATCACTCAACCATTTTTTTGTATTGTAGATTAGGGCTTATGAATTACTCATGGTGGTGCTTGAGGGTCCATGTAGGGTGCTAGGGATTGAATCTGGGCTGGATGCGTGCAAGGCAAGCACCTTACCCGCTGTACTATTGCTCTAGCTCCATATCATTGAACCATGAAGATTGATACTTACGTTAGCACTGTAGCCCTATTCTCCCGTTGTTCATCGATTTTGCTCGAGCGGACCCAGTAACGTCTCCATTATGAGACTTGTTACTGTGTTTGGCATATCAAATACGTCACAGGTAGCTTGCCAGGCTTTGCCATGCGGGCGAGATACTCTCGGTAGCTTGCTGGGCTCTCTGAGAGGAATGGGGTATCGAACTGGGCTCTCTGGGAGGAGGAATCGAACCCGGGTCAGTCGAGTCAGCCGCATGCAAGGCAAATGCCCTACCGCCGTGCTATCGGTATACAACTTATGTTATAAATAATAAAATTCAGAGGGACTGAGTAAATAGTATTTGAGTCCTCATGAACTACTTCACAATAGCTCAAATTGGAATACATTTCTAAAAGGAATGTATTTCGCTCGAGCAAAATCAATGAACAACGGGAGGATAGTGCTACAGTGCTAACATAAGTATCAATCTTCATGGTTGAATGATATGGAGCTAGAGCAATAGTACAGCGGGTAAGGTGCTTGCTTGCACGCATGCTATTTTAGGACATTTATATCACAGACTTTCATACTTATTTTTCATTGTTGGGCTTTTCTTTACTATCTTGAGACTGAAAAACCCAGAACTAGTTTTGTATCTGTAATGGGACGACTGCAAGTACACTTCTTCTGCCTTTCAGCTCCAGTCATTGCAGTCTGAACTCCAGTTTAAAGATGCAGAGATGAATGAATTAAGGACAAAGCTTCAGAGCTGTGAACGAACAAATAAACTCTCTGTTCCCTCTGTTTCTCATGTCAGGTAATTGTCCTGGAAGGAATATTCAGTTTTTGTTTTGTATTGTATTGGTTTGGTATTTTGTTTTGCTTTGTTTTGTTTTATATAAGGGCCATACCCAGAAATGTTCAAGGATATGCCTGGCTCTGGATATAAGGAGGTCACACCAAGAGGTGCTTAGGAAATAGGGTGGAACTAAGGACCAGTCCAGGCCTCCTGCATGCAAAGCATGTGCTCTAGCCCCTTCAACTATCTTTTGTGCCTGATTTGAGGGTTCAGTTTTGATTGCTTTTTAATTTTGGGGTGCTCAGGATCTACTCTTGCTAGTGCTACTACGAGGTACTGAGTCAAACCACTGATTCCTGCATGTAAAACATATACTCCAATATTTTGAGCTCCCTCCCTGCCCTCAGTTCTAATTTTTTAGTTAAAAAGTCTACATCAGGGCTATAAAGATACTGCACTGGATATGGAGTTTGCCTTGCACACAGCTGACCCAGGATCAGTCTCCACCACCCCATTTGGTCCCCTGAGCTCCACCAGAAGAGATCCCTTCGCAGAACCAGGAGTAAGCCCGAGCACTGCTGGGTATAGGCACCCTTCCCCACCATCCAAAAAAAGTACACCAGGGGCTGAAGGGATAGTACATGGGTTCAAGTGCTTGCATTGCACAGCCAGCTTAGGTTCATCCCTGGTACCACATATGTCCCAGGTGCACTGCCTGCCATTGTGGCCCAAAAACTTCCAAAATTTGCATCAGTGATTTTTAATTTTATACTTGTAGCTCACAAAAATAGAACACATACTTTGTACACCACTAAAGCAGAAGCAGAAGCAGTCACTTGTGATTGTTTTCTATATATTCACTGGGTTTTGTTTTGAGCCACAGCCAGTGGTGTGCAGAGCCTGTACTCCTGCCCTGTGCTCAGAGGGCGCTTCCGATAGTGCTGGCAGTCACATGCAGTCACATGCAAGGCAAGTGCATTAACCCGTGTATTATTTCTCTCACCGTTAACCCCTGTGTTATTTCTCTGACCATGGGTTTTTTATTTTTGTCAGTTTTTGATTTTTTTTTTTTTTTTTGGTTTGAGCCTCCCCTGGGGGTGTTCAAGTGCTACTCCTGCCTTGACTCTGCTCAGGGCTGCTGGGGGACCGTGTGTTGCTGGGGATTGAATCCAGGCCTCCTTCATGCAAGCCTGTTGAGCTATCACTTGAGTCTCAACTTTGATTTTTTTTTTTAAATAACTGATTTGGGACCCAGAGCAAATAGGTTTAAACTGCACACCTGAGTATTATGTGTGCTCCTACTTCCCCCCCAAAAAAAGAATTCTCCCAAAGCATTAGTGTTATTTCAGTCACAATTAATTGGGATAATTTTTTCTTCTTTCCACTCCAGAGCTTTTACGTCTAACCCACATATGTCTGGCACATTATTGGTATCAGGTTGGAAATATGAATTGTGTGGGCAAACATGTCTATTTTGTGGTATTGGTGTTGAACATTCTGCTTATTTTACTCAATAGGAGCAGGTGTGAAATGGACTTTGCCTTATGCAGTCCATATTAAATGGGGCCTAAGGTAGTTCATCTCTTCACACCTCCTCACTTAACCACTAGTGGAAGTAGAAGCCAGAAGTACATGAAAAGCAGGCAGGACCCCTGCGCTCCATCCACAACACCTCATGGTACCCTCAGTATCACCTTGAGTGAACCCCAAGCTCCTGCCGAGAGCAGCTACCAGCACCACCAGATATGACCCAAAAAAAACAAAGTATGAGCCGCAGAGTTAAGCCTGCTCTCTTATAGGACTCTGACCCTCAAGAGCTGACTTAGGTTGCAAGTTGCAAAACAACATACTTTCCTCTTTGTTTTTGTTTTATTGCTTTTTCCTTTTGGTTGGAGGCACTCTCAAGCAGTGCTCAAGGGGACTCCAGGGCCCTTCCAGAAGATTCTTACCCAACTGAGCTAGGTAGTTCTGTGCAAGAACCTAAGGGTGTGGAGCTACACAGCTCTGTGGTGCTGGGGACCACCATGGCTACCCCAGTGGTACTATGGGCTTCCAGGACTATTCCCAGAGGTGCTAGAAACACACGTGATGCTAGAATTCAAACTTAGTTTTCTGCTCATATGAAGTATTGCACCCCAACTGCTGAACTCTCTCCCCAGCCCCAAGACAACATATCTGGTTTTGGTTTTGGACATATCTGGCAGTGCTCAGAGGTTACTTCTGACTCAGTGCTCAGGGATCACTCCTGGCGGTGGTCAGGGGACCATCCGTATGAGGTGCCAGGAATCAGACCAGGATGGGCCACATACAAGGCAATAGTACAGTTGCCTAACTAATCTGTACAGTTGTCTCTCTGGTCCAAGTGCATAGGTTTTTAACAGTTGGTCCTCTTGAAAATCAGTCCCTGACTATTAGAAAGGGGATTGTGAGGCTGGGGAGATAGCTCCAAGTGCTAGAGCACATATTTTACATGCAAGAGGCCCTTGTTCTATCTCAGCACCACATGGTATTCCAAGCATAACTGGGGAACAACCTTGAGCACAGACTAGGGAGTAACCCTCTGTGAAGCTTGAATCCAAAACAGAATGAGGGGAGGAGTACAGGGCCACACCTGGCTGTGCTCAGGGTTTATTCCTTCCTTTGCTCAGGGATCACTGCTGGCCGTGCTCAGGGGACCATGTATGGTGCTAGGTCGGCCAAATCCAAGGCAAGTGCCTTACCTTCTGTACTATCTCTCTCTTCTACCACCCTTCTCCCCACAAACAAAATTTTCTTTTTCTTTTTTTGTTTTTATTTTTGGGCCACATCAGTGTGCCTCAGGCTTAACCCTGACTCTGCTTAGGGATTGATAGGAAACCATATGGAGTGCCAGGGATCAAACCTAGGTCAACCTCATTTAAGAGTATACTTTCTCTGGCCCCTAAAACAAAAATTTTCAATACCTCTAGCTATAAAAAAGAATGAAACATGTTGGAAGTTATAAAACTACTGGTTATAAAACCAGTTATTTTAAGTAGTTTTAGCAGAAGTTTTACTTTACTTTCATAGTTACTTTTTCTAGCCCTAGGAAAAGCCCTTCTGTGATTATAAAACCAGAAGCAAGTTCTCCACAGTTTGGAAAACCATCTTTTCCCACAAAGGAGTCTTTTACTGCTAATATGTCCCTTCTGCATTCCTGCCATTCAGAGCCTGGATACAAGTCCCTAGTAGGCAGAGAGGGTAAGTAAGTCTCTCCATCATCTATTTCCCAAATTTACCCAATTTTGTGATTTAAAAATCAGTGAGTGATTATTTTCCCCTGATTTCTGTAGATCAGCACTTCTGACAGGGTACGATAGGGACAGCTAAACTCAGGGAGTACTGGAATCCTTAAAGGCTTGTCTGGGGCTAGAGGATCTTTTTCAAGGCAGCTCACTCAAAGACTGAAACACAGTTCCTCTTCACAGAAGTGCTTGGGTGAGCTCATGACCTGGTGAATTACTTCCTTTAGACCTAACAGATGCAGAGAGCCAGGTGAAAGCTATACTTTTGGGACTGAATAGGCTATATAGGAATCAAGGTGTTTGCTGTGAGTGTGGCCTACTTCTGATCGGTCCCCCTGTTCAGCTGCTGCATGTGCTATCTGACAAAAATGAGCGAGCCTTGTATCTTGGTGGTACAACTCCCAGGGACTTGAAAGGGTGAATATGGTGGAAGAGAGGTCGCGTATCTGAATTCTTAGATAAACAGGCATAGCAGGCACAGAGGGAAACCAAATGATGCTCCACAGGAGAAAATGGAGCAGCACCCTCTCAGCCTGGACTGAGCAGTAGAATACAAAGCTGGGCTGTGACAGGAGCCTGTCCCTGTATGTTCTGTAGCTGCTGACACATGAATGGATGCTAACTGGGGAGCTTTTTAAACAGGCCTGCCAGTTTGTTGACATGCCTCCCTTCAACAGGTACAACCTCATTCCCTTTCCTTTGAACATGGCCCAGAGGCAGTGACTTTCTTCTAACAGGATGTGGTAGAAGTGATGCTATGTGACTTCCAAGGCTAGGTCATAAACAGCTTTTTTATGATAAGAGGGTGGGAACATTTGGTGGTGCTCCACGGGTTATTTCTGGTTCTGTGCTCAGGCGACCAGATATAATTTTTCCCCCTTCTCAATTCCCTTTCCCTTCCTGTTCTGGCCCATTTCTCGTTTTGACTCTTGTTTAATTCAAAGTTGAAGGAGTAAAAACAGTCTGTTTTAAATTCTGTTACATATAAGACGTTCTGATATGCCTGTACTTTTGTGCCCAAGTTTTGATTCTTTTTTCCCCCATAGTTTCAGAGAATAAAGTGCATAATTCAGGAACTGACCCAATGAAGCAAGAAGAGTTCAAGAAGAGTTTTGTTGATAGCTGGATACAGAGATCAAATACTCAAGGTACCAGATCCCATCTTTTCCTCAGGAAGCTTCTATGACTCTGATTGTCCTCTGGGACCAGCTGCAGAATTGTCTCAGAAATTATAAGAACCAGAGCCCTGGGCAGACTTGTAAAGAGTACAGAGAAATAATCCTGTGACTTAAACAAAAGACTGAGATGATAGGGACCAAGAAGCACGTCTGTCCCCAAGCTGTCAGCACCCACAGGCATCTTAATGGTACTTAAGCAGTTTAGAAAACAGTTTCCACTAAGGAGCGTTCACCTTTTCCTTCTGAAGCCCTCAAAAAACTTTCCTGTGACCTTCCCACGGCCTTCCCACAGTCATCCTGTCTTCTGCAGGTTCCATTTTGATAAACCTTCTCTTGAAACAACCTTTGATCCCAGGATCACCCCTTGGTCTGTGCCACCTCTTGAGTAGTTGTTCTGAAGCTCCTGTTGGCACCCTGTTGCAGCCACCAGGCTTTGGCAGGTAAGCCTAAGATTCCTCACAGGGGTTTCAGAATGAGTAAGCGAGTCCCTTTCTAGTCCTGGTCAGCCTGGGAGGTCAGCAGGATGGGCAGGGAGTCTAGAGAATGCAGCTGGCAGGCTGTGATGGAGCTTACCTCCATTTCACAATGTGCATGTTTTCTCTTGTTTGTTGCTAGTACCTTGACTGGGATTTCAGGCCTGAGGACTGCAGGTTCTCGTGAAGGGTCCTTTTCTCTGTCGGCCCTAAGAGAAGCACAGAATCTGGCGCTCACTGGACTGAATCTGATTGTCAGAAATGAAGGTTCTGGTGATGGAAACCCAGCAGAGGACGGCACAGCGCCCTTCCCTCTCAGCCAGTTTCCTGGAGCTGTGCATCTCCTTCCCCTGGTACAGTTCTTTGTTGGCTTACACTGCCAGGCTCTGCAGGATTTGGCAGCAGCCAAAAGAAGCGGAGCACCTGGGGATTCCCCAGCACATTCTTCCCGTGGGAGTTCTGGGGTAGAGACCAGCCCTGAGGATTCACCTTTCAACGTGGAAGGCTTCTCTGTGGCATCACTTAGCATCCTTCAGCACCTGGTGTGCCACAGTGGAGCAGTCGTCCACTTGTTGCTATCAGGAGTGGGGGTGGATTCTGCTGCTAGAAAAGGAAGCCAGAACATGGCTGAGAGACATGAACAAGGGGATGTGACTTCGGCCCCAGGGGGGCTTGCTGATGACCAAGACCAACATCCACTATTGAGGATGCTTCTTCGCCTGTTGACTTTCTCTTCTGCTGCAGCAGGTCACCCTCAAGGCAGTGTCCTTAGCCAGTGCCTTAAGGTGTTGGTGAAATTAGCTGAAAATGCTTCCTTTGATTTCTTGCCCAGGTATAACACAGCATGGGAATTTTTTTGTGGGTCTTTCCTGTGGGTTTGTGCTTTGCTCTCATTTTCATTTGTCTGCATTACTCAACTATACTGGGCCCGCTCGAGCAAATCGACAATCAACGGGAGGGCCTTTACCTTTTACCTTTACTCAACTCTACTACGCCTTGGTTTAGATAGTGAGGCTTTGTTCAAGGCATTCTGAAGGATGGAAAGTGGAGCCAAGTGTTGGGAGAATTGAGGAAATGGTTTATTTAGTTTAATTCTGCCTTTGTACAGCAGGTAAGCAAAAATCCTAGATGGTAAAAGAAGGCGGTTAACCTTTATCTACACCTGGACAAAGGCTGAGCCAAGGCACCTTGAACCTAGGACACAGATGAGGTGAAGACAAAAATGTCACATCCACATTAAGTTTGGTGGGGTTCTGAAGGAAGCACAGGGTAGGGAAAGACTGTGGCCTGTAGGTGACCTTGCAGTCATCATCATGAGCATACCTTGTACCTGGATCCTAGGTATTTGCTCCTGTTAAAGATTTGGTAGAGAGAGTAGTCTGGTGAACACTGTTACCATCAATTTGTTATTCTAGAGCTTCAAGACTCAGCCTATCCCCTCATCTGGTGATCCAGTTTCTCTCGAAGCACTCCCAGCAAGAGGCCAGTTCTTGTGTTGCGGTAACTCCACTAACTGCACATAAGTGTGCCCTTTTTAGCTGGGAGGCCCTGCACTTTGTACTGCTCTGAGGTCATTCCTGGTAGTACTCAGGAGATCATGTGATGCTGGGGATCATACCCAGGTCTAGCGCATGCAAATATGCACCCCAGGCCTTTGAGCTATCTTCCTGGCCTATAAGTATTGTTGTATCAGGACTAGGAAGATAGCTGGCCGAGTGCTTCCTGGACATGCTGGAGGCCAGGGTCCTATTTGTAACACTCTTGGTCCCCCAAGCATAGCTGGGCGTGGTCCCAAAACTGAAGTCTTTCTTCCAAGCTGAGCATTCCTGTTTACTAAAAACATTTCTGAAACCTGCTTCCAGTTTGAATATATTTTGGCTGGTCAGGCCCATCATGCCGTTGGTGCTCAAAACTAGCCAATCTCCTGCCGCTCTATGTATGGGCTATATGTTAAGTATAGAATCATCACCCAGGTGTACAGCTCAAGGTAAAAGTTTGTTTCATAATAGACGAATGAAGCTCCAGAAATCTTGTTTTTACCAGTACTCTTGGTAAATGTCTCATCCTCACACTCCTGTTGTGCTTATCTGCAAGGATGTGGGCAAAAAAACCCCCAAAACACCCAGCCTTTTACTCGGTGCTTTTTGTAGGCCAGGCACAGGCCTTATGTTACCCACAGAGCCCTCTAGTCTCTTACCGTAGCAGAGGACATGGCTTATAGAAGCCAAAGCTCAGTATTTGTTCAATGAATGGACCATATGTTGAGGTAAGAAAACTTGATGAAACACAGGAAGGAGTGTGATGGGTGGGTTTCAAGCTTACTGGTCTTTTTTTGTTTTGTTTTGGGGCCACACTGGGCAGTATTCAAGGGTTACTCCTGGTTCTGCACTCAGGGATCACTCCTGGCAGGGCTCAAGACCATTTGGAGTATCAGGGATCAAACGCACATAGACTGCACTGCTTTACTATTGCTCTGTTCCCCTCAGGGAATTCCTTCCTACTCAGTGCTCTCCAGAATTCCTTCATGCTTGCAAACTGAACCCCTAGCACCCAGCTTCCACTTCCTATACCCCAGGAAGAAGAGCTAAGGAAAAATGGGTACCGCCAGGTCCAAAGCAGTCTGCACTGCAGTCTGTGCAGCCAAGCAGGCAGTAGAGCAAATCACCCCGTACATCTGACTGCATCTGTGGTAACATAGTGCCAGGCTTGTCCTCAACAGACTATGGCAGAGACCAGCAATTGGACCTCAACTCCAACCAGGGTAACAACTATTAGAGCTGTTAAGAAAACTTTAGTAACTGGAGAGATAGTTTAGTGGGTAAAGTGTTTACCATACACGTGGTCGGCCCAGTTCCATCCCTTGCCCCCCATATAGTCCCCCAGCTCCCACCAGGAATAAGCCTGAGCAGAGTAGTGTGTCGCCCAAAGACAACAAAAAAAATTAGTGATTTAGTATTGGGGGTGTGCTTCAGTGGTAGGGAACTTGCTTTGCATATATGAGGCTCTGGGTTTGATTTCTGGCACTGCCTGATCCCCAAGTACCATTGTATATGCCCCCTCTAGAGAAGGAAAAACTTTATAAGAAGGTTCTGGTGTAAATCAAAAGATGGTTTTGAGGGACCAAGATACAGTTCATAGGTTAACGCACTTGCCTTGCACACAGCCAACCCTGATTGGATCTCTGGTACTGCATACAGTTTTCTGAGCACTGACTCGAGGAAGCCCTGAGTGCCATCAGGTCTTGACCAAAATCCCCATCCAAAAAACATTTGAGAGTCAGAGATGGTTTTATGGGCCAGAGCACATGCTCTGCATGATAGAAGCCCAGGTTCCATTTCAGGCACTGCATATCCTCTGAGCACAAATGGGTATGACCAAAAAATAGAAATATTTGAAATCATTGTGTTTATAAAAAGAAGGCTTTTTATTGAAGGTAATTTCAAGGATTTCAGCATACTAGTTGGGAACCTCTGTAATGAAATTGGGTTAACAACTATGTCAATTCCTCACCAAACCATACTCCCTGGTGATGCTCAGGTGCATGTCTGCAAGATAGCACTTGCTCTAAAGTCAGGTCACCTGACCTTGACCAAGGTCACCAGGCCTTGGGCTGGGGATGCAGCTCAGTGGTAGAGTGTATCCTCCACATGTGTGAGGCCCCTCGTTCAATCCTTGGCACCAATATTAATGAGAATCATAATAATAAATGATGTGTCCTACTTTGCTTCCTGATACTGTGCTGAGAAACTTTAAATTGTTGGTGATGCTGAATGTTGAACCACCTCACCACCAGCAGTGAGAAATAGTTTGTTTTGTGCAGTTCCAAAATCAGAGTCGGGCCTCACACAGGATGCAAAGCAAATGTTCCGTTGATAAGTCATATCCCAAGCAGTGTTTAGGAGTCCTGTGGGCCACACTGTCAGTTCCCCAACCATCCACTCAGTGCAAGGGCCAGAAGGAGCTGTGTTGCCTGGGGTGCCTGCCACTCCAGCAGTGCCAGGTGCTTCTGGTGATGCCAGCAGGACCATGTTCTTCTAGGAATCAAACCGGACTGGGTACGTGCTAGATATGTGCCCTAACCTCTGGACTGGCTCCTGGCCCCATAAGAAATACTTTTAACCATAAGCACTGTATGTAGAGTGCAGAATTGTGACATAGAACGTGTTAGATTTAACCCTCTCCCCAGCTACCAGGCACTGTGTTTGTCTTGGGATTTGATTGCTTGGTAATAGTTAACCCTTTGCCCAGAACCCCCACCCCCATGAGCACCCCAAATAAATACTTTCAGTAGAACTGGTATTTTATGACAGGTGGGGGAGGGGGGAGCCTTTCTCCAAGTGATCTCACAAGATCCCACCAGGGCCAGTTGTTGTCATTCAGAAGCAGGGCTAGTCCTTTGGTGATAGACACAGGGCATGACTCATACCAGTCAGGGAGCAGAGGCAGTGAAGAGCCTGGCACTGGGGAGGCCAGGCTCACCCAGACCCTGGGTGCCCTGTGTCAGGTCTAAGCCATGACAACCCACAGTGATAGACGATATTCCGATGAGGCCAGTGTCACAATCAATCAGTGTTTGCTGACACTTGACCCAACCTGTGTGAACCCACAAGGCTCCCCTGCACGAACCTGACCTGGTATCCTGCTAACCAGTGGAACGGGAGGGGCTAAGAGAGTAGGCTTGGGAGTGTCATGTCTCTCTGGGTCCCTGTGACATAGGTTCCAGTGTGTGTTCCCAGTGCTACCACAGTGCCTCAGCCCAGACACACCACTGCCCAGCGTGCTTCTGGCTGTGGAGCTGCTCTCTCTCCTGGTGGACCATGAGAAGCTCCTGCCTCAGCTCTGCTCCCACTCAGGTGAGGCAGGCCAGGGGCTGGAAGGGTGGTGACAAGGACAGGGCAGCAACCACCTAATGAATACTTCTGCTTGTATGCGGGCTCTGGTGGGCACAAGGTATCTTGAGTCAGAGGTGGGGCATCTGTTTCAGAAGGCTGCCTCCTCCTGCTGCTGTACATGTACATCATATCAAGGCCTGACAGAGTCGCCTCAGAGTCGCAGTGGCTTCAGCTGGAACAAGAGGTAAGACTTCATGCACCAGAGAGATACAGCAGGGAGAGCACTTTTGCTCACAGCCGACCTAGGTGCCATCTGCAGCACCACATATGGGCCCCTAAGCACTACCAGGAGTGATCTCTGAGCACCTCCAGATGTGGCCCCCATATCCCCTTTCTTCTCCATAAAAGGTAAGGACTCCAGAGAGCCCCCTGGGAACTGCTTGCCATGCCACCTTAAGAACCCGCACAACCTCTTTCCTCCTTTGTCTGGGTAGAAAAGTTTTCATTCACTTCAATTACAAAACTATATAGCAGCCAACAGAGTTAATTCAACTTGGTTATTCCATATACAGATGCAATATTGGTGGCAGTCAGGGAATCCTGCGACTTTGCAGAGTTGATCATCCCAGATTTGTGGGGCCTGGTGATGGCGGGAGCTAGGTGGGAGGTGGGTGAGACGCAGATGTCAGTCTTGAATCGGGTCCAGGAATGCCCCACAGTGCCACTTCTGGGACCCCTTGTCTGCAGAGGAGCAGCCACTAAAAAGTACTCGTTAAAGGGCGGGAGGAATCCAGTGGCTAGTTTGTTTGTCTTGCACACGACTGACCCGATACAGTCCCCAGCACCACATACAGTCTCCTCACAAAGCCAGGAGTGAGTCCTGAGCACTGCTGGGTATGGACAAAAAACAAAAACTAAGAAGAAACTCTTGTTGAGAGTGATCACAGCCCCTGCTGTGCTCTGGCCTTGTTCACCAAGCACTCAGCAGAGTGTTCTCATTCTAGGCCGTGTGGCTCCTGGCGAAGCTTGGGGTGCACAACTCCACCTCTCCAGTCACTGGCTCCGACTGCCAGTGCAATGTGGAGGTGAGTACCCGGCTGAGGGTGGGGGCAAGAGCAGCATCTCCCCCATTCCTTGGACACCCCACCCAGCTATGCTGGTGGTAGGGGAGGTTGTGGGAAGTGGAAACCCAGCCTCAGGCTGCACCCACCCTGCAGGTGGTCAGGGCGCTCACAGTGATGCTACACAGACAGTGGCTGACAGTACGGTGGGTAGGGGGACACCCGAAGACTGAGCAGCAGAAGCGGACAGTGCGGTGTCTGCGGGACACGGTGCTGCTGATGCACAGCCTGGCCCAGAGGGACAAGCTCTTCACAGTGCACTGTGTGGAGGTCCTGCACCAGTACGACCAGGTGATGCCAGGGGTCAGCGTGCTGATTCGAGGGCTTCCTGACCTGACAGATTGTGAAGGTAAGCCGCCTTCAGGCCTTCCCATGGCGCCAGGGATCTGGGGGCTCTCCACAGGCCTCCCTCCCCAGCACCGTTGCCAGCACTGGGCCCATTTTCCTGTCTTCCTGCTCCGGGTCTTAGAGCTGAGTAGGCTGATGTTTGCTCCTGACTGTTGAGTCAGCTGGGCAGAGTCACAGTTTTCCAGAAACACCTCTATCTGAATTGCCTTTTTGAATCACTTTGCTTGCGGCAGCTGAGGGAGCAAGGCCTGGGCGTAGAAGGGGCTGGTTGGTTCCTGCAGGCATGGGCGGGGGAGAGGTGGGTTCCCTACCCCCAACTCTCGGGGTTTTCTGTTGAATCCTCCTTTCACAGAGGCAGCCCTGGATGACCTGTGCGCTGCCGAGACCGATGCCGACGACCATGACATGGACTGTAGCTGAGGCTTGTGCGCTCTGGGCCACATGGTGGCGGCAGCAGCACCACCGCTTTCCTCACCTCCTTTGCTGATTAAAAGAGTGCAGCTTGTGTTTCCTGAGTCTGATCTGTGTTGGCTGAGTGGGAGGGATGGAGCAAGACCAGACTCCGGGAAGGCTGGGATCCTTCTTCCTGTCCCCATGGTAACGAGTCAGCCTGCGGGAAGGAGCCCTGCCCTGCCTGTGAATTGTCCTGAGTCATCGCTCTGGGCCTAGGCCTTAGGAAGAAATCTGGTGTGGCAAGAAAGAAGGCAGCTCTTAGCCTAGGCCCAAACCAGGGAGTCCTGGGAATGTGGGGACAAGTGTGGGCTCATAATGGCCATGGTAGGGTCTCCGGGAGGTCTCAAATCCCACCATTCTCCCATAGTTTGGGCTGGCTGCGGGAAGCATGAGAGAACCTGCATGGCACTGTGCAGGCAACAGGCCTCCACTGTGGCTGTGAGCAGGACGGATGGGGAGGGAGGGGCCTCCGGGCAGGCAGCTGAGGTGGGCAGGCCCTGCAGAGGCCAGCCCCTGGGCGGGCTCCGGGGAGTTTCACTTCCCGCCACTGCTGCCAGCTGCGAGAGCCAGCCGGAAAGTGTGCGCCCAGAGTCAGTGCCGCTGCTTGCTGACCGGTAAGTGAGGACCCCCCACTCCCCCTCAATGGGCTGGGCAAGGTGGAAAGGCCACCGGTGCCCTTTCCCAGACTAGGTGGACATGGGGGAGGAGCCCAATCTTCCGGAGCTGTGTGCTGGCCCCACCAAGGAAGCCACCTTCCCCTCTCCCTCCCCCATTTTCAGGCTTCCTGCCCTGAAAATGGGTCCTGGAGCTCCCAAGCATGACTGGCCAGGGCCAGAAATATGCTGTTCTGCCTGGCCCCTCCCAGCCCCTCTCCACCTGCCTTCTTGCTGCCGGGCACTCATACCCACTCCTTTCCCATGCTTCTTCCCAGGCTCAGCACAGGTACCTGCCTCACCATGGGCTCGCAGGCACTGCCCCCGGCCCCCATACAGACCCTCATCTTTTTGGACCTGGAGGCTACTGGCCTACCCTTCTCCCAGCCCAAGGTCACGGAGTTGTGCCTGCTGGCCATCCACAGATGTGCTCTGGAGAGCCCACCCAGCCCTCAGGGGCCATCTCCCACAGTGCCCCCTCCACCCCGTGTGGTGGACAAGCTCTCTCTGTGCGTGGCTCCAGGGAAGGCCTGTAACCCTGCAGCCAGCGAGATCACAGGGTTGAACACAGATCTGCTGGCAGCACATGGGCGTCAACACTTCGATACCAACGTGGCCAACATGCTCCAGGCCTTTCTGCAGCGCCAGCCCCAGCCCTGGTGCCTGGTGGCACACAACGGGGACCGATACGACTTCCCTCTGCTCCAGGCGGAGCTGGCCACTCTGGGCCTTTCCAGTGTTCTGGACAGCGCCTTCTGTGTGGACAGCATTGCAGCCATGAAGGCCCTGGAGCAAGCGGGCAGGTCTTCAGAGCATGGACCAAGGAAGAGCTACAGCTTGGGCAGCATCTATACACGCCTGTACGGGCAGGCAGCGCCAGACTCCCACACGGCTGAGGGGGACGTGCTGGCTCTGCTCAGCATCTGTCAGTGGAGGCCACAGGCCCTCCTGCGGTGGGTGGACGCTCACGCCAAGCCCTTTAGCACCGTCAAGCCCATGTATGAGGTGGGGCCCACCTCGGCTGACTCCAATCCAAGGCCGTATGCTACCATAGTCCCTGCATCCCTGAACAGAGTCAGGGACCCCAATCCCAACGTTGGAAGAGGCAGGAGATCCAATGCCCCTCCTCCCGTGCACGGCCCCGGAGCATCACCCAAGGAAGGCTTGCTAGCCCCACTGGGCCTGCTGGCCTTCCTGACCTTGGCGATAGCCACACTGTATGGGCTGTCCCTGGCCACACCTGGACAGTAGGCCAGGAAGAGCAGTCTGACTAATAAAAACCCACTCAGCACTGACTACCTGTCTCCTCCCCTCTTTAGTAGCCACAAGGGCCTCCGCCCCACTTGGGGACACTTAGGGAAGATGGGCACAGAGGGTGGCAGGGATTCACCCTCCCTCTCACCCTCCCCAGCAGGATGGTCAGACACCTAAACCTCAACAAGAGGCAAGACACCCAGGTGCCCATCGGAATTGGGACCAGGCCTACTATCCAATCCCAGCAGCCAACACAGAAGAAAAGAGGGCAGCAGCTCCAAAAGTTTGCCTTTATTATAAACAACACAGAAACACGTGAACAGGTACAAATCTAGGCAAGACCTGGTGAGAATGAACAGAGGGCCAGGGACACGGAGGAATTCAAGTTTGGGTCTGAGCTGCCACCCAGAGTTCCCCTCCACCTTGGGTCCACATTGCCCCCTGACCCAAGGGTCCCACTGCCCAGACAATCTTGACAGGCACAGAAGCTGGACACTCGCTGGGGCTGTTGTTGGAGGAAGCAGGGAATGACGAGCGTCAGATGGTCCCTCTCAGTGGGCTATTCATGTCCCAGTGGTTTCAGCCCACTGAAATTTTCACACACCTTTTGCAACAGGATAAGGCATAATATTTGGCTAAAAGTAAAACGGATACACTGCAGGGAGAAGACACTTGAGTGTGTAGGTGGCACACTGACCACCTGTCATGGGCTGGCACCAGTAGAGGGTGACCTGTGGGTGCACATGGCTCCCCGGCGATCCCAGAGAGGAGCTGGGGACAGTCTGAGCAGATGGTTCATACAGGTGGATGAGGCTCTGCCTGGGGTGCTTTGATGCCCGAACGCTGCCTGCCCTCGCTGGGCGTAGCACAGGCCCAGGAGCTTGGAATTCCCACTCTAGTGACTTGAACCTTATTGCTGGGCCACAAGCCTTACCCACCTGCCTGCATCATGGCTCTGGTTCTTCTTGGCCTCAAGCAGTGGCCATTCCACCAAAAGGAGAGCACATGCATGCTGCCACCAAAAAAAAAACAAAAAAAAAAAAAACCGTGTGACTCTAGTGTGACATGGCCCTCTGGTCTCCTGGGGGTGGTCCGGAAAAGAGCTCTTTTGAGTCATTCTTTGAGTCTTGTAATTTCAAGAAGCATAATGTCAAGGGAGGAAGAGAACAAAGTATGTCCCAGCATCTCTGGCGAGGGCCGCTCACCACCACGTCAGCATTGTAAAAAAGCCTGTGTAGAGACAACTCACACACTCACTACTCATAAAGAGAACCGTGTCTGCGTTCGCATTCACACACACTCACACATCAATGGCAGCCAGAGACAGAGGCGTGCTCAAGGGCCGGCCTTCGGTGGGTCCATGTAGGCCGGGTTGTAAGGAGGCTGGCTGACAGGGTAGGGCATGGCTGCTCCTCCTGAAACAGAGAGGACACTCGGTGGTTGTAGGTCCCGTGGCTATAGTAGGGGGATCAGGTGTAGTGGAGGTGGCAGTGGTACTCACCAGTCAATGTCTCGTGGTAGGCCGGCGGGCCCATGGGCTGGGCTGGGTAGGGTGGTGGGTACTGCACTGGATAGGGTGCTGCTGGCATCCCTTGCTGTGGAGCTATGGGGTGGTAGCCCTGGTAGGTAGGTCCAGGGTAGCTGGGTGGCACACTTGGAGGAGGCTGTGGGTACGGGGCATGCACCACAGTGGTGGACGTGGTGGTGGTCACGACCGCTATAAAAGAGAAGCCCAGTCAGGACCCTCAGTCTCACCGTCTCCCTCCAGCTGAACCCAACTGGGGTCTTGAGCAGCAACCCCTGCCCCCCTGCAGTGGGTGTGCATAAGGACCAGAGTAAGGGTGGGGATAGACAGGCTTACGACGTGGTCTGCAGCACATCTTGTACAAACAGCAGCAGGAGCAAGTGAAGCAGACGATGATGGTGACCACACAGAGCACAAAGATGGTCAGGCCGATGGCTACCGTCGCCCCGAACCTGCAAAGTTGTCAAATCACAATCCAGGGTCATACACCATCTGCCAGGAGCAACACCACACCAATTCCCACACACACACACATCTTGCCCACCCCACCAGCTGATCAGCAGATGGTCATGGAACACAGGCCACAAGCCAGACACTGTGTGATCTGAGCCCAACTCTGCGACAGGAAACAGAATAGCTGGCGGGGCCAGGGAGGAAACAGATGTTGAAGGCAGGATGGCTCAGAAAGCAGAGGCTGATATTCCAGCAATGCCAAGGTTCACAAGGCAGACCAATGAGGAGAGAAAACGCATGGGGTGACAGCCTCACACAGCCACCTTTGTGCCCAAGGCAGAGCTGCTGGCCCCAGGTGCCAGCATTAGACCAGCTGTCCACACATCCCTGGAATCCCATGCTCTGACTAGCTGGCTGGCAGGTAAATTGTGTCAGGCAATGACAGGGACAGGCCTGATGTGGCCCTGCTGGTTTGGGACACCACAGTGTGACCTTCCCTGTGAGTAAGCAGGCCCTGGTCTGGGAAGTTCAGCAAAATTGACTTTCCTGACTGTCCCGCACTCTCCTCCCATTTCCAGAGGCCAAGTCAAGTCTATTGAAGGCAAACGCTTAGCTGCAGCAAGCGCATGTAGTTATGAAAGGAGCCAGATCAGCTGGAGTGGAGGCAGGGCCTTGCCTCGCTACCTGGGTGAGGGGCTTCTATCAGACCAAAACTGGGCAGCGCAGCCCAAGAGTCAAAGGAACCTTTCCCAGAGAGCCTTGAATGTGGCCCAAGGCCAGATCAGAGAGGTCTGCCCTTCTGCTCAACACAGGAGGCCCTTGCCTTTTCCTCACCCACAGCCCCCTTCTAGGAATCAAGGACCACACACACACACACACACACACACACACACACACCACAACACACTACAAAGTCATCACACATATGCACACAAATATACACACCTTGCACAAAATGATACACATTTACAAGGCCATCACACAATCACACATGAGCGCACAATGACACACTACAGGGATCTCACACACATACATATACATGCCACACTGCACAAAGAACAGGGCCTTCACACACACCACAGCAACACCCTACAGGGCCATCATACACACATACACACACACCACAATGACAATAGGTCTACCTCATGCACACTCACAAAATGACATGCTACAGGGCCATCATGTGTGTGTGCGCGCACACACGCGTGCGCACACACACACACATACACACACACAACGACAGACAACAGGGCCATCCTCTGCCTCTGATGCACATGCGCGCACACATGCCCACACAAGCACACAAACACAGCCCAAGCTCACCCCATATTAGCCTCAGACTTCACTCAGGGGCCTCTGGCATCCCCTACTTCCCGCTTTCTAAGAGTTTCGGATCTCCTCCCCTTCAGGGAAAAAGAAAGCAAATCTCCTTGGCCTGCCCGGGCCCGCCCCGGCCCGCCCTCTCTTGACGTCATGGCAGAAGGACAAACACTGGGGCCCTCTTAAAGACACAGCATGGCCCAGGCTCCCACCGCTCCCGGCTGCCACTCACATAGGGGCAGGGCAGCACTACCACTCAGGGTCTGAGAAGCCCCGCCTCTCACTCCTGCTCAGTGCCCAGGCGCTCCAGCAGAGCTTACAGCTACCCAGGCTCCCTATAGGGCCCCCCAGGCACCCCGCTCCCTCACCCCCCAATAAGGGTCCAGAAAGAGATAGTATTGCAGGCACGATGCTCGCCTTGCACCTGGCTGACCAGTGTTCATCCCTGGCACCCAGTATGATCCCTTGCATCCCTACAGGAGGATGTGGCCCAAAAAACAAAAATCAAAAATTCTAAATAAACCAAGCTCCTTATATACTCAAAACTCCCATGCCCCGACCCTCATCCCCTCCCCCTCATCTTCTCACTGCTCCAGACACATCCTACTTCTTTCAGCTCTGGAAAGACCTTCAGGGACTTTGCCCAGCGGGACCCGTCCACCTTCTCTTCCATCCCCATCCACTCCCTCCTGCTCACCCTGCAGACCTCAGCACAAAACTTCATTTCTGTGGCCAGGAGTAATCTATTCAATGCAAAAGGCTCAGGGTCCACTCTGGGGACACACAGAGTCCCTCCAGCACTGCTAGAAGAAGCCCTAGAGCATGTGTGCGCTCACACGCGCGCACGCACACACACACACACACACACACACACACACTCACACTCACACCGCCCCATTACCTGTAAGGAGGCAAGCCAGGTCAGGTTCCTTAACAAATGCTCTCCCAGAATTTAATCAGTATCTGGCCCCATGCACTTGTTGTGGCTCACAGCGTGGCCCAGGGTAGATGTTCACTAAATCCCTGAGGAATAGAATAAATTCCCACGGGGCCCCTAGGGTAGGGTAGGACAGTCAAGCCTGAGACTTTGAAAAAATACAATACTGGGATGGGGGTCACTGGGTCCATGGCACATGTCACAGTACTCATGGAACCACCCCTCCAAGGGGTGGGAACGGGGGCTCCCCACACTAGGCTCCATCTTAGTCAAGGCAAGGCATGCAAAGCAGAGGAGGGCAAAAGGTCAGGGGAGAAGGGAGTGCGGTGAGGCTCATGCCTCCTGCCTCTCCTTCCCCTAAGCTGCATCTCTTCCACCAGGCTATTTCTGTTTTCTTTCTTACTCTGCGTTTTTTGTTTGTTTGCGGGGAGGAGCATACCCAGCCATGATCTGGGGCTATTCCTGGCTCTGTGCTGGAGAGGTGAGGGGGTTAGGAGTGGGATCACTCCTAGCAGGGCTAGAGTGCAACAGGAATCCAACCCAGAACTCCGAATGCAAAAGCACATGCTCAGCCCTTGAGCCACCTTCCTGCCCTCATTTCCTCTGTAACGCAGAGCATCAAGCGGGGCTCCTGAGCTCTGTGGATCACTGCCCAAGAAGGGGCATGCTCTCTGGTTAGACAGCATCAGAACTGAGGTGTATTCTCGTTGGCACGTTGCTATGAGGAGGTCCACACCACACACCAGGCTTCCAATATACCCTCTCTGAAAACCAGTCTCAAGACACCAAATCAGATCTGTGCCA